TATCCATTCATCTGTCGATGGACATCTTGGCTCTTTCCACAGTTTGGCTATTGTGGACATTGCTGCTATAAACACTGGGGTGCACGTACCCCTTCGGATCCCTACATTTGTATCTTTGTGGTAAATACCCAGTAGGCTTTTGCAGTATTTTAAAAGACTGTCCTGTGATATGGAAATGTTTTTATGGCATAAGAATAAGTGAAAAAAAAATTTAACTAATAGTAGATGCTAGACTTTTCATACATTTTCTGTTTCGCTCCCTTCCCGTGTGTGTGTGTGTGTGTGTGTGTGTGTGTGTATTCAGGCAGATATCCAGCTCTATTTCCTTCTGGTTCTTTCCTGTTTTCTAATGTATGTATTTAGCTGTTTAATTTATTTGGAAATTCTTTTAACATACAGCGAGTGGTAAGAATCATATTCTTTCCCCCCAAATGATTTTTACAGCACTCCTGGTTGAATGTTCACTCCTGTCCCTACTGATTTGAAGTTTTCCTTTTTAATCACATAAGAAATTATGTGTATTTCTCTAAGGTATCTTTTCTGTGTCATATAGAAGTACATTCTTGTGCCAGAGGCCCATTGTTTTAGTTATAGTAACTTCAGAATTTAATGTGCTGGCAATGTGAATCTTTGCTGTGTTATTTTTCAATTTTGTGTCAATTACTAATACCCATCTGTGGCCGTAAGCACCTGGCCTTTGTGCTTGGACCACCTCGCACGGGAGCCCCATCCGCCCTCTTCACCGTACCTCCGACCATAGGCAAATAGCTTAATTTTTTTTGGTCCTCAAATTCCTCTTTTCAAAGGGAGATAATATCTATGGCATTGGCTTGGGTGAGATTGGATAAGATAGTGGATGGAAAGTGCCTGGCACATAGTAGGTGCTCAGGAAATGATACATGGCATCCTTTTTATGTGAAATTTAGACTGATTTTTTGAGGTTGCAAATATCCCTCGGTGGGGGGGGGGTGAATTTAGGGAGAATTGACACATACATGTTTCTATCCAGGAGCAAAGCTTGTATATTTTTCTTTTGTGTGTTCTTCAGTAAAGGTTTGTACTTTGCGCAACAGGTGTTATGTATTCTTTGTTAACCTTATCATTGTATGTGTATGTTTGTAATAAATAATACGTTTTTCCATTATATTTTCTGACTAGAATTCTATCACGTGTCGGCAAATGTGGCTTGGGACAAATCTTTGGACCTCAGTTTTCTTACCCATGAAATTAGAGTGGTCTTCCTTTCTTACAGAGCTGTTAGTGGAAGGAAACGCAGTGTTGTGTGTGATAGTTTTTAGGAAATATAGACAGTGAAATGGGATAGAGAATCAGGAGGACTCGGCTTCTTCCAGGCACCATGCAGTTTTGGTAACAGGTTCTGCCTTGTCTCTACAGTGGGGACGGGGAGAGGTTTTGTTTTGGAGGAGAGGTGGTACGTGGGTGGAGCCTGCAAGGCTTCAGTGGTGGTGGTTTGGGGAAGTCTCAGGTCATGTAGGGCAGCAAGAACCTGGTGATGTTTCTATGGTGAGTTCCAGGCTCAGCGACTTCACAGTGACAGTGGAGGGTGCTAGGGACAGTATTGGCTTGAGGCCTTGGATGAGTTCCCTGCTCAGTAGTTTTGCTATCAGGTCAGGTTGGTGGTGGGTGCCAGGACGCAGTTCATTATAAATAACGTTTTGTGGAGAAAAGGAGAGGAGTCCTGTGTCTGGAAACTAAGATCCTCCTTACTGTTAGTGACAGGGAGGGGTGGTAGATCCTGAAGTGTGGCTGGAGTTCATTCATAGAAGATATATATAAATTTATTTTATAAAGTCATAGATGAGCAGTTTCTAAACATTGTTTTTCAGGTAAATAAATGTTTAAAAAGTGAACAGAAGGTCATTTTAATTTACCATAGCCCTAATGCTACGTTTTTTTTTTTTTTTTTTGCTTTGATAATTGAGTGCAGTTCAACAAGTTATAAGTGTATTTTTTTCTAGTGGCTATTTTTACAGAAAGTAAAAATGTGTGTGTGTGTGTATTTAGAAATTGCTAGTGAAATCTTGAATCCAGATTAGGGTACTATTAAAATAGCCAAGAGAGAAAAATGTTTCAAATGTTGAACAAAAGTATATCCTAAGGTGGCTGTTTCGAATACAAACAATCAGGGTGTGAACAGAGAGTATTTTGTTTTGCGAATGAATCGTGGCTGTGGCGGTGGGAAGGGATCTGACAGATCGCTTGTGTTGCTTTCCTGCTGAAGCCGTCCCCTTGCTCTTCCCTCCGCCAGACCGAGACCTGCCCTGCGCCGCAGCTGGGGCAGCACCACCTCCGCTGGGAGCGGGGAAGGGAGCGTGAAGCTGCACGAGGGGTCCCAGGTCCTCCTCACCAGCTCTAATGAGATGGGGACCGTTAGGTATGTGGGCCCCACTGACTTTGCTTCTGGAATCTGGCTTGGACTTGAGCTTCGAAATGCCAAGGGGAAGAATGACGGAGCCGTGGGTGACACGCGCTATTTCACCTGTAAGCCAAACCACGGAGTCTTGGTTAGGCCAAGCAGAGTAACCTATCGGGGAATAAATGGGTCAAAGCTTGTGGATGAGAATTGTTGAGTTAAACTTCTAACATATTCACTGAGCTCATATACATGCATAAAGAGTCCATGGCCAATGGTTTATTTATTTAGCCATTATTTTAGATTGGAAAATAGAGCTGTCTTCCTAAAAAAAACCATTATAACAATTCAGAGAGACTCCTTTAGAAAGCTAGAAATCTGAACCATGGGAACCATGGTTCTCTTAAAAGAAGTTCAAAATAAGCATTTTTAAGAGCTTTTAAAGCTTTAGAGCCAAGGAAATTCTGAGACTTAGGGAAAAAAAATGTGCACTTAGGTAACCAACTGACGTTGCTTACTCGGTTTCATTTTTGCACATAATACTGGATTTTTCATAGGCTGTCATCCGTGAGAGTTTTCACAGGCTTTGGTTAACATACGACCTTCACATACTTTTTTCTGTCAAGTATTTTTGGAGTTTTTCTTTCTGTACTAATAAGTACAGTAAGAGAAGAGCAGCTTATGATTAGTGTATTTTTCATTTTTTTTTTTTTTGGAAATGATTTGCCCTTTCAGGAATGCCTCATCTAGAGATACGTTAAAACTCTGGAGTCGAATGGGCCTTCGAGGCTCTTCTGAGCCTCTCAGCTATTGCCAGATAGAGAAATGGAAGGTCTAGAGCAGTTCTTTTACCCAGAGTCTCTAACTAGCTGATTAACAGAGCTCAGAATAGAATGGGGGTCTCCTGACCTGTGGCTCGTGCTCTTTCCTCTATACAAAGTATGTAATCACAGATTTTTCTTCTGTGTTGGCAATTGCCTCATCTGAATGAACTACAAAACCCCATCATTAGGTTTATGAATTCAAGTCATAATTGGAATTTTTTGCACGTACTTGTCTAATTCCTTATTGGACATACCTATAAAACACACACACGAAGCACTTTTAAAACAATGCACTTTCATCTTTGTGGAGAATTTGCCATTATTTCTTCCTGGGATAGGAAAAACATTTAGAAAAATTATATTTAAGAGAAGAGAGTAAATTAAGATGTGTTAGGAAGAATATAATAGTTATTTAAATGTTTATGATTTCTCGATGTTTTTGGTTCTAATCATAAAACTGGTGTTGTGTTTGCTACCTTTGCTGTTTTTATGTTTTCAGTTGTTGCAAAATTCAGCCTGTTACAAAGCTACAGAACTGTATCATGTTTTTGTATTTCTTTTTGAGCACATGTTAACAAACTGGGCTTCAAAATATAGTGATATAATGTAAAACGTTTGTGTTGTGGATATGTATTGACATTTATGTCCTATATGTGTAGAGATTTATCTTTTATTGTAGATATGTAGCCTTTAAACTACACAGAAATATTGAAACAGTTTATAAGATTAAAAGTATCCTTTAGAATGGAGGTCGCTTTGTGCTTAGAAATAATATGTTGAACTATTTTGCAATATACTATTTAAAATCTAAATTCTGTTGCTTTGCTGCCTTTTTAAAAAGAAGTGTGGTATTTCAAATATTGCCAGAGCTATTTTCCTGATATACATTTGCAAAATATGGCTGCTTTATAATCAAGGAATATTTTTATTGATTGAAGAAAATGCCTGTATTGCAATTCAAAAGTAAACTTATTTTATTATACAGCTTATTTCTTTAAAACTCTATTTATACCTTAATATGGAATTCATGATTACTCTGAACTTGGGTGTCCATAATTCTTCCTGTTAAATATGAAACGCTCTAAGAAACAGTAGTGCCGACTCTAAGGTCAGGGAAACAATTGTTCTCGTATTTAGATTAGGATCATTAAATCCATATAATGTGTATGTTTACATATACTATACATACAAATGAAGTGTTTTCATTTGTGTTTTGCTTACTAAATGTCATTCACAGTTCAATTCTTGAGCATTAATAAAAAAGGGAAGCTGTTTCGGTCTTGGAATGTTAATCTTGTCGTCACCCTTCTGCATCGCCCCTTCTCTCAGTAACTCAGAGTGCATGGCTCCCTGCGTACCTTTTTTGTCTTACCACAATGACTTGGATTTGTCCTGTCCCTCTAGAGTCTTAAAAAGTATCATGCTTTCTACTCAACAAGTAAAGTTATATTTTTAGCCACCCTCCTACTATCTCGTTTTGATGGACAGAGAGCCATTTAAGAGAAGAATGGGTTTCTAGAGTTTTCTAAAATTGCCTCGCTTTCTTTTATACCAGTGGGATTTCATTTGCTTATTTAGGGTAGGATAGACTATTTTGAATTTAAATAAAAATATATATAAATAATTACCTACATTCTACTACAAAGCTTTATTTTTTATTTTAGGGTAATTTGGTGGGAATATTAAGTGCTTAAAAGTGTTCAGATGCAGATGTTTGCCAACTCTGAACTCTGAGACATTGCAATCTTGGTCTGAGATGCTTGCACCCTTCTCTCCAGAACCGTATATACCACCCCCCGCCCCGTGTTTGATTTTTCTCCTTCGTATTTACCATCCTTGATCAGGCTAGACTTTTTGCTTCTTATTTCTCTCTTCCCTCACTAGGTGGAGGGATGGATTTGACTGGTCCATTGCTTTATCCCTGACACCTGGAGTAATACCTGCACCTAGTAGATGCTCAGTGAATGCTTGTTGAATGAACAAAGGCAATGAAGGCCATTGATGGTTCAAAGTAGGGATATTATCTAGCTAGCTTCAGACAGGTGGCCTCAAGACACCAGGCCATGGAACAGGTAATTGTGCTCGGTACGGGAGGGAAGGGGACAAGGAAGGTTTGAATCATGGGAGTCTAACTTTCTCCCAGAACGGTGACCTGCAGAGAAGGATGCCAGGGGCTGGGTAAGAGAAGGGGAGGAGGCACCTGCCTCTGTGTGTGTGTGTGTGTGTGTGTGTGTGTGTGTGTGTGTTTCCCTGGGGACGGCTTTGAATTTCTATTTTGGTAGGACCGTAATCCAAAGAATGTCGTCATATGTATGGTCGGATACTGAGTGGTGAACAGCATTGGTCTCTGGGGCCAAACCTTTTTATTTCAGAGTTTCATTTTGGACCTCTCCACTTAGAATATGTGATAATATTATTTAAGCCACATTGACCAATGGCTAGAGACCCAATGTGTTAAGAATCATTCTTAATTAAGAAATGGATCTAGTAATTGTAACTACTCACTGGACAATTTCTAAATGATTCTATGTATCGCCACAATGCAATCAATAGGAGAATTTTTTATTCATACCCTGTGCTTCACTATACTTATAATACAAATGCAGTAGTTGATACAAAACTCACATTATCACATATATTTTTAGTAATTATTTAATAATATCCCTTGATACATAGGCCCTTATTTACAAACACTGTCACATATAAGCTGCTTGAATATACAATGGACATTCCTAACGACGCTTGTAGGCCGAACAAGTTAAATAGGACACATTAAGATTTTATTATAAGCAGAATATGATACCCTTGCATAGGCAAAAAGGATTTCCTCTACCAAAATTTTTGCTAATGCTCCTTTTCACAGGAGGGGAAAAAAAAGCATATGCGGAGGAATTATGGTTGGTGGGCACCTGTTACTGACGATGCTTTATCTTCATCATGCTTGGTAGGAATGAAGCTGAGTTTCTGCTTATGGCCTCTCCCTTGCAGAGAAGGGCACCAAGAGGTGTGGGAACCTTTTTCACCCCTCTTGTTCCTTTAGAATATCTTACAATGAATAAAATTTTCATGATACAGCAGCAGCAAGTTTCAACATTTTCATCATCTACTACCCAGGGAAGTGTGGGGGTCATGGTGGTGCTGAGGGGGCAGTGGAGTTCTGAGTTATGTTAGCAAAGGTATTTTAGGTGTTTAAATTGAGGCTCTTAGCTTAAAATAGAATCTGTTCCTAAAGATCACTAGTGTCATTTAAAAAATGCTCACAAATCTGGCATAAGTTCAGCTCTAAAATCCTGAATGAACCCAGACAGACAAATCTGCTGCTCCTGTAGGTATTAGGTATTTACCCGCATGCACACCCCTGCGGGCTTCTTTGGAGGAATATGGTCTCAGGATTGGGTATTCTGTCAGAGTTGTTTGAACTGGATAGATGAAATTAAATAGGGAGTCTCAGAAATTTACTTGTATTGCACTGAACTTGAATTTTAAGCATTTCTAACGTGTAGGAAGTGTAAATACCCAGAGGCTGCATCCTCCTTAGCCTGAGCCAATCTCCTCAGAGCTTACGTTCTTTCAAATCCAGTCCGCCAGCGTTCAGGCTGGCTTTACTCAGACTTCCCTTCTTGAGGACTGAACTAATTATTCTTCACTTGACAAATCAGACTGACAAAGAAATGAGTCATGTTCAAATCATACACAAAGCTTCCAGCACTCTCTTTCGTCTTTTTCTAATATGACTTCTGAGATTCAGCTTAAATCTCAGTCCACAGTGTTCCAGATAATGGCTGTCCCTCACTGTTCTCGTCATGAAGGATAGGTGTTATTCTCCAGCATCTTTGGAAAAAAACATCCTAACATGGATTTTAAAATGAATTTTAATAGTCAGAAAAAGTCCCATATTGGGCGCCTGGGTGGCTCAGTCGGTTTAGCGTCTGCCTTCGGCTCAGGTCATGGTCCCAGGGTCCTGGGATCGAGCCCCGCATCGGGCTCCCTGCTCGGCGGGAAGCCTGCTTCTCCCTCTCCCACTCCCCCTGCTTGTGTTCTCTCTCGCGCTGTGTCTCTCTCTGTCAAATAAATAAAATCTTAAAAAGTCCCGTGTTGATGGCAGGGGAAGTGAATTTTGCATTAGAGACAACAGAGAAGAGTAAAGTGTCAAACTTCAGTCTCTTTAATTGAAACTGCTTAATAAAAGCAAATTTCTAATAAGAATTCCAATAGATTATACATATGAGTTTAAAAGATTATAATTTTCTCAAGTGCTCTTTCCCTTTTCTTGAAGGGAATAGAGTTTAGGGAATAAAGAAGGTGCATGAAGTTTCAGGAGGCCTCACTTCACGCTGCCTGGTGCGTGACCAAGGAGAATCCGGGTGATGCTCTGCACGTTTCCTGCCTTGCATAAAACTTCACTAGCTGCTTACTGGTGCACACGTGTGCCAAAAGAATCTGTCTGTAATATCACTCTATTTCTTCTGAGAACTGTGAAATATTCCATAAATATTATTTGGAATAATGCAAAAGGGCTTAGATTTTTAAAAGTTTTCTGAAGTATTAGAAGTACTAAAATGTAGAAAATTTGCCAGCAAGTCTTCACAATCTTATCTTTCGGTGAGATATTTGAGTGGGCTCTCTTTGGGGATTCCCTAGTTCTAGGTCCACTATAAAGCTATATTATTTACCCCATGTTCCAAAAATGGCCATCCAGTTGCCGTGGGTGTGTCTATAAACCTGAAAAGAGGGATTCTCTCCAATCCTCTGTAGCTGGGAGAGAGGAGTCCTGTTATAAATGAATTCCTTATCGTAATGGCACCATGACACTTGTTTAGGGATGGCTGACTCTGCAGACACCTCCTGTCCCAAAACTTATGGCTTATTCTGGGCTTTGTATCTGGCTCTGGGAATGGAGCCTGGGAGGTGCTCATTGACGATGGGCAGGAAGTGCATCAGACCTATCGTGAAATATCAGGTATGGCAAGCCCTCCAAAGATAAGTTTTATCATTCTACTTTGCCAATAAGTCTGCAATTGTAGCAGACATAAAAGAGAGAAATGAGTGTTACGGCACTGAAGGCGTACAGTTCATTCAACGAACCCAGTTCTCCTAGTCCTGGCAGCTTTGCTGCTTTCAGGAAACCACCCAATTAACTTTTTTGCTATGTTAATAATTTTATGACTTGTTAAAGAGATCTTCGAATAGAATAAACAGAGAACTGATACTAAACTTTCTGGGCTACTTCTGTATAAAGACTATAATTTGGCTCACTGGGAAGGCGCACTGAGTTATTTGGCTTTGGCTCTAAATGCATGAAGAGTCAAGAGTCAAAGTGCTAAGATTAAGGAAGAGGACACACAAGCATCCATGCACCAGTCCTGTTGGGATTTGCCTTGGAAGGGGCTTTGAGACCAAACAGTTAATGCTGTGAAATGAGAAAGCGAGGCTTCACGGAACTTGCTGGAGTCACTGGGGCGTAAGGGTACTTGCAGTCGAGGCTGACCCGTCTGCCTCTGTCTCTCAAATACCAAGTAGTGCCAACCCATCCAAAGTAGTATAATCAGCGAAGTTTCGTCCACCTGCTACTCACCTATACTGGCAAATACCATTTCGTAGAATGTAAATATTCTAGAGGCTATTAACATACACTAGTTGCTGAGGTTTCGAGGGAGTTCATTTAATAAGATTGCCTTTCAACCTAATATATACCAGCTGCCACGTGCCTGTGAACGAGCATTTGAGTGAGGGCAGGATAAATAATTGTAATTGCTTTCAAGAAGGCAAGAGCCTTGGTAGATGGATGGAGTAGGGAGATAGCTGGCGAGTGTGGAACAGAGGCCTCTGAGAAGCGGATATGGGGCCAGCAATGCATACGGACTTTGGTGCTTGCAGGCTTTCCGAGGTTGGCCCGTAGTGCCGTCTTCACGGGGAAGGGTAGCACACTCGTTTTATGTTAACTGAATACTGAAGAGGGGGACGTCATTTCTTTAGTTTTGTGGTTGTAGTTCATGTTCCTTCCCCACACCGTTGCATGTATAGTGTGTTCTTACACTGAGCTTTTCCAGTGTTTTAAAAGTTGAGTTAGAGCTAAAAATAGCTTTGTACTTGAGTCGCTCATTAAAAATTAAATACACCTACTCAGAATACGAAAGGAAAACCAAATCTTAATAGAAGCCTTACTGTTTGTTCTCAATAATTCTCTTTTATTTTAGGGCATCCTGTGGAGGATTACAGGAATGCTGGGTTTTGTTTTGCATGTTCGCACAACATATTCGCACAACATGGGGAACCATCTGCTTCAGTGAACTTAGGAAAGTCAAATTGTTATGTTCTTTGGGGACCCATTTAAAAAATCATTAGCTAAAGACAGATTGACAACACACTTCATATGGTTTTATGAATCTTGTCATAGGGAGTCTGTTATCAAGGGTAGTCTGAATTCATGTGCATCTTGTTTTTAGGTCTCCAAAGCTCATGTGAATGTGAATCTTGCTATTATTGGAGAAAATCTATTAAACTAGCCTGATCACTTAGGATTTCTTAGTGGAGTAAAGGTAACCTACAGTTACATAATAACTTATAGCTAGAGAGTTTGCCAAGTATTATATGAAGATGCCAGAAAATTTTTTTTTTAATTACTCAAGCTGATTAACTACCTTCCTTTCTGTGATGTTTATTTTTAACATTTAAACAGTTCTAAGTGTGGTAGAGTCTTTACATTCGTTTGAGCTGAAAAGGACTGGGTGCTGGTAGGGTTCTTGTTCCTGTGATTACACAAGTGACAGATGAAATCAAACATGGCGCTTTGGTGGTAGCGAGGCAGGGGTGTATAGGCACATTCTGACTTTTGAAATTCTCCCCCACACCCAGCCCAAATCACTTGGGAATTGAAGGGGTGTACGAAGGAGTGCTTGTGCTTAGACACAGATTGTAATCTCCCCGAGGGGCCGTGAGGAAAGGAAGCCATTCTCCTCATTGTACATGGAGACAGGGACAGCCAGGCCAGGTCCGAAACCCCAAGGAGAGCCAGGACTCACAACCTAACTGGTGGGAGAGAATCCAGTCTTTTGGCCACTGAGTAGATCATAGTCTTCAAGAAAAATTAAGCTTATTCCCGCCCTTTTGAAATTGGCTATAATTTTGAGTTGCCACATACTAAACCGGTCATTCCCTTACAAATTGCCAATTTCCCAGTGGTACAGCTGTGCACTTTTGATGAGCTTCTTTATAGACATGGAATATAAATCATTATTCTAGCTTATGGTTTCATTAACATGGCTTCTGTAAACTCTAATTGTGCCTGTTCATGCTCTAGGTAGGACTCTTCTATCAGTTACTAGACAAGAGCATCCACAGCATCTATGCGAATTGCCACAGCCGTGTGGCTGGAGCATGACCGAGGGGACACTAGTCCAGGACACTAGTCCTGGTGACACCTGGGGCTTACAGCGAATTAAATGAAACATCTTGACAAGCCATAATATCTCAGTGTGGAGTTGTTTATTTACTTATCCATGTACACAGGCTTTTAAGACTTGACTATCATTTACATGAAAATTGATACCAATGAAGACAATTAGAATCAGCAAATCAAACTCAGTGGTAGTAAGGCACAACCTGAAAATGTAATGGATTTGTAGTTTTTAAGAAGAGGAAGGGATACGATTTTTTCCCCCATTAATGACAATAAAGAGTTGGTTATTGAACCATGTAGCATGCTCCCTGTTTAACTGTTTACTGGTGTTACAGATATAAAATGAAATTGTTCTTCTCAGGTCTTGTCAGCTCCTCTGTCATTATCCTTTAGGAGAGTGTTTCTCAGTGTATCATTCTTGGGCCCTGCTAGTGGTTTATGAATTAGATCATATAATTAGACTATTTACTTTTGCACCTGGCATGAGCCAAAACTTTACTGATATGGTTATTTAGAGATGAGTCTGTTGATGTTTCAGCATCATCTGTGGTCTGGTGAGAATATTTTTGGCAGTTAGGATAAAGGAAAAGTGGTGTCCAGGGTATGAGTGCTTCTACAGATGTGCAGGACCCCCGACCAGGGCGAGGCATCTGCCTCAAACAGAATGGACACTTGTCTAGTGTTGGCCTGGATCAGAATGGCTTTCCCACATCTACAGCGATACTCGTGACCTAGGGGAGAGTGAGGAGGTGGGGAAAAGGTGGCTATATCTATATACAGTCCTTTCGCTTGGGGATGCTTAGAGCCTGGCAAGTCACGGAAAAATGCTCTCCTCCCACAGCAATGTTTCGGCACAGCCACCACCAGAAAGGAAAGAATGAAATGAAAGGTCACTGATAAAGCATTATTTTGCCCAAGTACGTGTGTGGAAAACTTAACCCATTCGCAGTTCGTTTCCATGGAAATCAATGTCATCTGTGAAAACCCAAATTCGGAGCCCCCGCTATCACGTGCATCCCGATGTCCATCTCCACACTCCAGTGCCCCGCTGATCCGCTGCCACCCGGGGGGGGGGTCCTGTTTCCATCTGTATTTGGTAGCTATACCAAGGATGTTGTGCCTATGTGAGCAAATCAGTGTTCCTGTGTATGCTGGGATCGCATGCTGCAGGGGGATGAAGGTAGATGGACACTGGAAGGGTGGACGCTGCACCTCTCAGGACCACCAAGGGCCTGGGCGTCCAGTGACTCACCTGCCACTGCAGGTGGAAACGTCCCTGCGCTTAACCTTTGTGATGGAAACTGCTGGAAGGTTTGGGCCTGGGAGGGATCAACACCTAGGCCCATGAAGGGGCATGTGTCTAGGCTTCGATGCATCACTGCTGCTTACAAATTTTGCTTTTAAATGATCAGAGTTGATTTTAATTAGTGGGAAGTTTTAAATTTAGTAAGAATTCAAATCTCGAGCTTTCAATCCGGTAGGAGACCTCTCACTCAGGCCCCCTTTAGTAGGAGGGTTTTCTTAAGGCATGAGGTATATTGACAGGATGTTTGAATGTCTGGATCTGGACGGACTGTGTCTTTATCATACTCAAAGTACGCTGAATAGCTGCTTTTCATTCAGATGAGCATATGCGCATTTTCTCTATCGCACCGTAACTATTCATCACGTGTTTACAATCATCAGCGAATCGGCACAATCGGAAGCATCCAGACATCACCTAAAGGGACATTTCAGCTAGTTGTCTGTGATTTTTCCTTTCCCAGTAAAGAGCGTCTTTCCCCATGCCGGCTCCTGACAAGTAACTCCTTTATTTCTGTTCCCTCCCCCGTTCAAGTGGTCCGGGTCCACACCCGCAAGGTCAGGAAACACCTGTGACTCCAACTCGGAGCCACATGAGCAGCTAATGCTGACCGAGTTGAGCAGAGCACACACAATGTGAGTGAGCAGGAGGACGTGGACGTCAACCATGCACAAAAAAAACCTTCTGCAACTGAATCGGGGCCTTGCAGTTATCACTTGTCTCTACGATGTTTTCTTCTTTTGAAAGAATAAGATGAACCCATGCTCAAAACCTTTTTCTAAAGCATTTTGAAAATAGAGCTGTGTATGGGGCACTTCAAAACAAGTTGGCACAAAATAAGAAGTGACGTTTGGTCTCTGGAGCCATGACCTTGCCCTCCTCCATGGGCTCAGGCTTCCCAAGGAAGAGAAATGAGGGCCAGGGGGGCTCAGGGCCCAGGCTGGTGTTTCAGAAGGGTGTCCTCGTAATGACCGGTCCCGGGGCCAGAGGTGGCCTCCAACGGTAAGCCCTGCTGCTGGTAGCCATAGTTGACGTTTCCACACGGGAAGTGGCGCAGCCTGAACAGAGGCACTTCCTTCATGTTGGCAGTCAGCGAGGATGGCTCTAGGAGCAGAGAGGCACCCGGGAGTCGGCCAGGTGCCACGTTAGGTGGGACAGTACAGCTTCCCTCACGCCCCAGATTTCCCCTCTCCTGGTGCTCCTTCTTTGCTGGAGGATTGTTCTTTTTGGTGGGTTTCTCTGTAAACCATGAGCCATACGTTGGGTTCCAGAGGCTGGTAGGTTTGTTTCTGGATCCCTGGACTTTGTGCAGCTCTGATGGTGGGTTGGACTGGGAGAATGCCATGTTAACGTGTCCAACTTCCATGGCTGGCCCTCTTGGGACTCGAACAGAGAGCGCCGCTGCCGTGGGCTTCTTCATGGCTTTGCCAGAGGAAGTGGAAGGAAGGGGGGGCGGGGCAGCGGGATCCTGTCCTTCCTCCCGTTTGACTTGTGGAGGAGAGACGAGGAGAGGAGGAATACCTTCCGGGTCTTGGGGCCTCATGGGCACCTTCTCCTCCTCTTCCACGAGTGGGCCATACTCTGTGGGCAAAGCCGTGTTGATCACATCTGGGTCCTACAGGCGGGAGAAACGAACCGATTAAGATGTTGAATCACAGACCAAAATCGTTGGGTCTGGAAGATAGCTTAGCGATGGCCTCATCCAGACTTCTTTTCTGGATGAGGAGACCATCCAGTGTTTATTGGGAATATATTAATTCATAGGCCCCGGGGAATAGGAGATGAAAATGGGAGGTCATCGTCATCCTTGAAGAGCTTGGAGGGTAAACACTTGTTTAGAGGTGTCTGGCGCAGGGGAGTGGCTTTCCAGACACCACCTTTGGGCAAATGTTACAGATTCATGGATTTAGAAAAATTATTCCAATCCATTCCCAATAAAATCCCTTCTGCTGAAAAGAAAAGTCTGTGACCTCAGGTGTGTGTGTGCGTGAGTGCGCATGCAGGACGAGGGGAGGGGAGGAGAGACACACGCTGTGTTGGCTCACAAGGTTTACCTCTTCTCTTCCTAGCTACCTTCCACTTTCATCATATTTGGATGGGCTGCATTTGATGATGACGTTTCCTGTGTTACATCATCGTGCCATTCTGTGTGCAGATAGCACAGTGGTTCTTGATCTGGTCTGGATCTGACCGGACCCTTTGTCAAGCCCAGAAAGAACTGCAGTGCCATGAGGAACACCACTCACAAAACTAGCTCTGTGCTAGATCATTTTTACAGCAATGGATGGTAATACAGAAAAGCAGAAGCAGTTGCCAGAGATTTGAAGAAAATCTGTGGAAAGTTTAAGGAAACTTAAGCTTGGGGGAATTTAATTCTTTAATATTTTGTGCAAATTGGGAAAACCATTGCTTCAGTGTAGCAGAAGAACATGTTGGTCCAGCATTCATCAATAAAAAGAGTATAAGAATAAAAACAACTACCTTCTGATTCTCTTATTCTTTAGGTCCTTCCTGGGTAATTATTCATTCTCTATGGGGAGTCATTCAAAATATGCTTGTACAGAATTACCATCTTTTAAAAGAGGGAGGTTATATGCTTGGGAGAAGAATTACTCCAAAGTATATATAGTTGAGTGGGTATATTCCATTAGTATTACAACATAATAACCTAAAATGCCATTCATCAGACAGCAAGTTTTCTGAAAGAACCCCACAGAACTTGATCAATGAAGTCCATCCAGATAAAGGCCAGTCCCCTCCCTTCTGAGCTGAAGGAGTGGAAGGGTGGGACAGTGGTGTTAGGAACAATGAGGTGGCTTGAACATGTATATGGCTTCTGTCACAACCAAGATGGGCGATTTAGGGAGGTAGTGGCTCATTGTCCGACTTCTGAAATACTCTCCAGAGTTACATATCCTGGCAGAATGAGAGCCGAGACAGGGAAGGAGGCAGATGTGTGGAGAGGAGATACTGCCGGAGGGAGGGAGCGCCCCTGAGGGGGCAGCTGGTGGTGCAGGCTGAGGGGCTCCTGTGAGGGAGGGGGGCTGCCCCCTCCACTGACATGTGGGGAGGGGGCTGAGAACCAGTGTCCATGCACAGACTGGGGGGGAGGGAATGAATTCTCAGCCTCTCCTCTCTTGAGGTAGGAGGCAGGGTCTGCTAAAATAGCGTTTTAGAAAGGGAAAATTTAGAGTCCTTTCTGAAGGAAACGGGAGAAGGATCCGCATAGGGGCCAGCGGTATGGCCAGGAAAGTGCGCGGCTTGGAAAACCTCTCCACGCCTCAACTCATCTGGAAAATGGGGTATTTTACGTACCTCACTGAGGCTAAAATCAAGTACAGGAAAAGTGATTAGTGTGTTACAGACCCTGTACTAATGCTATTGATGAGCTCCCATTTCTCCAGCTTACTCTCTTCCCTCCTTGAATCCCTCTAGTGGTTATCACTGGGCACCCAATTTTACAATTACATATTGTTAATTATTTCACATTATTATTTCTCTAGCCACGCTATAAGCTCTTTGAGAACACGTGTTTCCCACACTTCTCTGGAGCTCCAGTTTTGTCTAAAAAACCATTAGTTATCCAGGACGGGGACGGATTTAGTTCATACTTGTGAGTTGAATTGATCCCCTAATAGTGTTGGGTGTCTGCAGCTGCGTCATGTGCCAGAGAAGGAGGAGGCAGTGACCGGCATTTATTTACAAAACAGGCAAACTGAGGTACCAGTCAGCTTACTTCGTAGATCAACAGTCATTCTCGTGATCATTAATAACTCCTATTTTCTGGCTGGCTTAACTTCCATTTCATAGTTTGGTATTTGCCACCATTTTCATATGAATGCTGGTCAAGGGGGAAAATGCTTATACCTGGGTGCAGTATTCAATCCTCTCCAAAATTATGGCGAAGTTGGGCCTATCTTCAGGCTGATGTTGCCAGCACTGGGTCATTATCCGGTATCTAAAAGAAGAGTAAAGATGCTAATTTAAACCAGGAGAAAGAGGGGTGAATACCTTTTCCCCAGCACTTCTCTAAGGGGGACCAGAAGGTGGCACCGTCTTGGAGAGTGACAACTCAGCTAGGTCCCATGTGGTTGGCATCTGCTGCCCTCTGCTGATGGGCCAAGGAATGGTGCCCAGGTGCGAAGGTATTAGAACACCAAAGCTCCCTAACAGACATCCTGGTGTTTATGTGAAATATGGCTCCTCTCATTCCATTTCTGAATTAAAGGCACCTCTGGGGAAGAATATTCTAATTATACTTCCCATCTGCCTTGGTTGTGGGAAGGAGGTGAGGGATGCCAGACAGGACAGCAGAAAATGCAGGGAATGGAAATAGTCAAAGGAGACGTAAGACAGATGGTGCAGGGCAGCACGGTGGGGAGCCCGGGACACAGACTCCTAGGAGGTGTTGAGGAATGTCAGCCTGGTGAGTCCGCAGTCTCCAGCCAGACAGAGGATAACTTTTCAGGCATGACATTACTGCTTTCGAGGGGCCGGAAGACTAATCCACCTCACTGAAGTCACAGACACACTCCTATCCTGGGGCATATTAAAGGAGGTCAGCCATCTATCTGCCCCTCCATCTTAAAACAAAAAAAGCATGTGTGGCTGCAATATTTTTTGGAAAAGAAAAACTGTCCTTAGCAACTCGTAGAAATGTTCCTAAAAGAGTCATACACGGGCCCAGGGCAGTTCTTAGGTGGGTCCATCCGTCCTCCGCTGGTGACGAACTCCAGAACTTCCTGGTTGCTCTTGCTGGGGTATGGCATGTATCCAAGAGAAAATATTTCCCACAGCAGCACTCCAAAGGACCTGCGCACAGAAGAGATCGTACGGGTTTGCATATACACACACATTTATACGCACAGATGTTAAATTTTTTATTACACATTTTCCCACAATTGAGAATTCTTAATATGGAGAACAAAAATAAAAAAAGAATGAGAAAGTAGCCACAGGTGATGCTCTATAAAAAGATAACCATGGTTAGCATGTTATTTTTTGTTCCAGTCGTTTCTGTACTTAGATTTCTTTTACATAATTGCAGTTATATTTCAAATGCAATTTTGAACCTTGACAGTTTTTGCAATCTCTATTATAGCATAAACATTTTCTGTGCTCATAGAAACATCTGAAATGGCCATAAAACATTCCATTGAGTAATTGTGCCATAATTTGCCTTATCATTTCCATATTTTCAATTTTTTAAAATATTCAAAAGACTGATGAACAGCTTTTAAATCTGTGATGCATTTTTTAAAAGGACAATTTCCTTAGGACAAATCCCTCAAATTTACGATTAGGATAATCTAGTAAAATCTAGGATAATTCTAATCGAATTACTAGATCAAAAGAATATGAACACTGAAAAATTCTTGGCACCTACTGTCCACTTCCACACTTCCAAACGTGTCATTCCAATCACAAGCAGCCAGCATTGTGCAGGAATGCATCAGACACTCTCACCCACATTGAGTATCATTAAAAAATGACAACTTTTACTGATTTTAAGGGAAAAAAATGGTAGAATCTTTTAAATTATATTGACTTGATAATTAACATGGTTGATTGAGTGTTTTCTCAAGTATTTATTAATTCACTTCCTTTTTTTCCCTCTATGAATTGTTTGTATCTTTCGCCCATTTGTATCTACATATTGTTCTGGTATTTATCAAGTTTCTTTTTGGTTTGTAGACGTACTTTATGAGATGCTAACCTTTATCCAAAATTGAAATACTTCTATCAATTGCTTTCTAAAACTACCAAAGATTTTATTTTTAGGTAGTCAGATCTATTTTTTAAAAATTTTGTGATTTCCTCCATCTGTTTTATAGATTAGGCAATCCTCCCTTCACTAAAGATTAGGTGAGTATTTGCTGTTTTCTTGTATTTCTTCTTCCTCTCCAGCTGGATCTGAGAACTTAGTTTGGTGTATGGTGTGAGGTAAGGGTTCTAAATTGAATTGTTTTGCAAACAACCACTCTTCTAACACTATGCATGAATACTTTTCCCCTTACTATTGACTTGTGAGTAAAAACAGATTTCTCGGCTCTCTGTTGGCTTCATCTCTATGTCTGCTTCTTGCATTGATACCATTCTATGTTAACTCTTTGTATATTTATGTTTTAATATCTGGTAGGCACTTTTCTGGTTATTTCTCTTTTTAAAGACATATAGTTAAGGGGCGCCTGGGTGGCTCAGTTGGTTAAGCATCTGCCTTCGGCTCAGGTCTTGATCCCAGGGTCCCAGAATTGAGCCCCGCATCAGGCTCCCTGCTTAGCAGGGAGCCTGCTTCTCCCTCTCCCACTCCCCACTGCTCATGCTCTCTCTCTCAAACAAATAAATAAAATCTTTAAAAAAATAAACATAGTTAAATTCTCATTTGTTATTTTAAATGAACTTTAAAATGATACTATCATGTTTCAGAATCATCTCCTTTCATATTTTGACTAAAATTTCTATTTTAAAACTTTAATTTCATTATTAGCTTTTTGGCCAAAAAAAAAAAAAAAGTGCGCCTATCTTTGTTTTTGTATCTGGTTGTGGTTTTTGTATGTTAATAAATATTCTATCAAAAATTTTAGAGAACTACAGCTACTCCATCTCCGAAGGAACAAAAAGTACATTGGTTCGGTGAAATTTCAGACTCTAGTGAGGAGCATAGGGCAAAGATATTTTCCATATTTTTCAGGTGAGAAGGCTGAAGCAGAGGTTATTATGCAATTAATCTGAGACAGACTGGAATACGTTATTAGATCCCTCGATTCTGGTACCTACAAATTGCCTGGTACATATTTTTCTCTGTTTGGTGGTTTGTCTTCCTCCAAGGCAAAACAAAATAAGCAAAATCATGCAAAAGCCTGGCAGTAAGGCCTCAAGAATTCCATATATCTGTTTTCTGCCTGTCTATATAGCTAGAGAGATAGATTGTAGTATCTTTGAGAGAACCAGCATGTAGATGGCAAACAGATGTTTATTTTCTTGGTTTGGAGTTCAAAGAAGCAAGAAGTAGTGTTGGTCATAGAACTTTGATAATTTCCGGTAGGGAGAGCTGTCAGATTTAGCAAATAACCATACAGGACATCCAGTTAAATTTGTTCCAGACAAACAAGAAATGCTTTTAGAATATAAGTATATCCCAAATATTGTATGGGATGTACTGATACTAAAAAATTATGCACTGTTCATCTGAAATTCAATTTTAACCGGTCATCTTTTATTTTGTCTAGCAACCTTACAGGTCAAGTAAATCTATATTTTATATGCCAGAGGTTTTTTAATTACCTATAAGCCTGTCCTAACTAGAAGCAATAGGTCCCACAGCTTTGCACTAAACATTCCAAGTCAAATAAAAACAAGTATTTTAAAAAATCCCACTCTCCTTCTCTCGGTATGAAACTTGCTTTGCTTGAAATGATAGAAACAGGTTAAGTGATTGCTGATTAAATTACTTTAAAAATTTGAATCAATGAAGATAATCTGATGAAAAGGTTTTAAAATTATGAGTTGTGCTGTGCTTATCAGTCTTTTAAAGTTACATTTTATTTTCCTTTATTCATACCTGGAAGATTGTGTTGAGGTGTGGAGCACAGTTTTTGGAAAACTGGGAGCCCAAAGTGTATTGGGCTTCCAGTTATGGAATGAGTAAGTTTCGGGGATGAAAGGTAGAGCAGAGGGCATATAGTCAATGGTGTTGTAATAACGCTCTACAGTGACAGGTGGTAGCCATGCTTGTGGGGAGCACACCGTAATGTGTAGACTTGTCCACTCCCATTCTGTACATTATGTGTCAGCTATACTTAGGAAAAAAAAGGTTACTGTATTGTATTTAAATATGCGGCCATCTGATTCCACTGTCTCTTGCAGTTCTCCTCGAGCCTCAGACTCACAGATCAGAAGTCCACTCAACGTCTCCACTGACCCATCTTACAGACATCTCACACTGGACTTGTGCAAAAGCTCCTTCTGCCCCCGAACCCATCTCCTTTGTTCTCTCCAGTGATGGCCAACCTAGGAATTGTCCTTGATCTCACCCTTTCCACACCTCCCACTCCACGGCCTACTTCCGTTAGTCCTGTCTGCCACCTTCAAGACAGAGCTTGAATCCCACCACTGCTAATGGCTTCCCCTGCCACCACTAAGCCTAGCCCCTCTGTTCTCTTATCTCGAAGTGGGTAGGATTTCCCTATCTTCCCCTGTCCCACTCCAGTCTCTTTTCATTAGCAGCCAGAGTGATATTATATATATATTTTTTTCCCTAAAGATTTTATTTATTTATTTGACAGAGAGAGACACAGCGAGAGAGGAACACAAGCAGGGGGAGAGGGGGAGGGAGAAGCAGGCTTCCCGCCGAGCAGGGAGCCCGATGCGGGGCTCGAGCCCAGGACCCCGGGACCATGACCTGAGCCGAAGGCAGACGCCTAACGACTGAGCCACCCAGGCGCCCGATATTATATATATATTTAATGATCTTGTCAAACTCTGGCTTCCAGCCTTTCAGGGGCAACCTATTCGGTGCTAAATAAAACCCACATCCCCTAACCTGGTTCCTAGGGCCCTCCATGTCTGGCCCCTGCCTGCCCTTCTAACTCAGCTACCGCTGGCCCCCGTGCTCACTAGCTCCAGCCACGAAAACTTGTTTTCATGCCTCAAACAAGCTCATCTTGCTCCTGCCACTGACCTTTTATACTTGACTTCCTCCTCAGCCTGGAAAGTCTTTCAGATTTTTCTGCCATTCAGGCATTGCCCTGTCACCTCCTCCATGGAGCCTTCCCCACCATCTGTATTAAATAGCTTCCCTCCTGGGGCCCCTCCACCCCTCCACTCTTGATTCTCTGCTTTTTTGTCTCCCTGGCACTCACCAGTATCTGAGGCTATGCAATTTACCTGTGTCTTTAAAGGTTTTAATTAGGAAATAATCTAAACTTTAAGAAGGAAATGTAATTTAATAGTTCTTTAGGTACTGAGATGTTAAAACTTTGTCTTATTTGTGCCTAGTCTCCTTTTCTTTTGGAAGAAATAAAATAAATACAGTTAAGTCCCACCCTCCCTCCGCTTCCCCCACTGAAGTTAGAATCTAGAAAACACAGATGTGTTTTCACAGTTTATACAATGTGTAAAAGCATAAACCGTAAAGAATCTGTATGGTAGACTTGATTTTTGTATTGTAAAATTATACTTAATGATATTCCACCCCTTTCTGGAACTTGTCTTTCTTTCTTTCACTCAAGGTTGCACAGAGATTTATCCATGAGGATACATGTAGGTTTGGGTTGTTCTTTTATATTGCTAAAGAGTTTTCCATGATATCAGTAAACCACAGTTTATTTTCCATTACCCATTTGAGGGATACTTAGGTTGCTTTGTGCTTTTTCTCTATTATAAACAATGTTGCAAATGAACATCCTTGCCCAAGTCCATTTGTGTCAACCTCTGTCTAATGCCGACCGTTGGAAGTAGGATTGCTGAGAGACATGTGTTCAGAACAATTACTTAAAACACAGATTGCTGGCCCCACCTCTAGACCTCCTATCCCATTAGGCTGGAGGGGGGCAGCCAAGAACCTGCTTTTCTAACACATCCCAGGTGATGCTGGTGCTGCTGATCCGAGGACCACACTGAGATCCACTGGGTTTGGGTAAGTCTGATCTTGGCGACTTAAAACAACAAAGCTCCTGCTCACATCGTCAAACATGGGTCAGAGAGGGACTCCGTTCACTGTGGCTCCTCCATCTCGTGATGTTATTTCCACACAGGTTTCACAATTTGGAGGACTTTTGTCCATTGTCTTCTTGGTTTCCTGTGTTGCTGTTGAGAAATTCGATGCCATTTGGATGCTCTGTTTTTATCTCTGACCATTTTTTACTACGATTATTTTATTTTTCTCCTTAGAAGCTTACAGAATCATGATCACCATTGGTCTGAAATTTCACGATGACATGCTTTTGTGTGGCTCTCATGATCCACTGCAGTTGGCGCTTGTTGGATGCTTTCATTCTGGACATGTATGCCTTTCTGTTCTGGAAAATCTTCGTGAATTATTTCTTTGATATTTTTATTCCCTTCATTTCTTCTGCACATTCTTTTTGGGACTCCTGTTTGTCAGCTAATTGGACCTAATGGTCTAATCCTCTTAATTTTCTTTTCCTTTCTTTCCTATGCATCCCATCTGCTTATAGTTGTTTTCTTCTTCTTCTTTTAAGATTTTATTTATTTATTTGACAGAGAGAGCGCACAAGCAGGGGGAGGGGGAGAGGGAGAGGGAGAGGGAGAAGCAGGCTCCCCGCCGAGCAGGGAGCCTGACGCGGGGCTCGATCCCAGGACCCTGGGACCATGACCTGAGCCGAAGGCAGACGCTTAACCGACAGAGCACCCAGGTGCCCCTAGTTGTTATATTTTCTAGAAGATTTATTCAACTCTGTCTTCCAAACTTTCTGGTACTTTTGCATATCTATCATATTAAAAATATAAATTTCTTGAGAACAGTTTTAGATTGTAAATAAATGATGCCGATAATACACAGAGTTCCCACATGCTCCACATTCAGTTTCCCCTATTTTTAGCATCTTATATTCATATGGTACATTTGTTACAATTAATGAGCCAATATTAAGGCATCATTATTAACTAAAACCTATAGTTTATTCAGATTTCCTTAGCTTCTGCTGAATTTCCTTTTTCTGTTCTAGGACCCCGTTAGAATATCACATTATATCTAGTTGTCATGTTTCCTTGGGCTACTCTTGACTGTGACAACTTCTTAGGCTTTCCTTGTTTTTGATGACCTTGACAGTTTTGAGGAGTATTGGTCAGGGCTTTAGTAGAATGTCCAACTGGGATCTGTCTGCTTCTCTTATGATTAGACCGGAGTTGTTGGGTGTGGGGAGAAAGACCACAGAGGTTACATGTCATTTTCATCACATCACATCAAAGGCACATGCTATCAACATGATCTAACACTGTTGATATTGACCTTGGTCACCTGACCTGACGTTGCTGTGTGCAGCTCACACAAGCTTCCGGAGACTAATGCTCCATCTCTTTGAGGGCTCTCTCCTATTTTTATTTCTAAGAGCTTTTTTCTCTAAAAACCTTGTTTTAAAAAATCTTTCATCCTTAGATTATGGTTGCAATAATTTATCTTTCTGAGGATATTATGTTTTTTTTTTTTAAGATTTTATTTATTTATTTGAGAGAGAGCATGAGAGGGGAGAGGGTCAGAGGGAGAAGCAGACTCCCTGCTGAGCAGGGAGCCCGATGCGGGACTTGATCCCGGGACTCCAGGATCATGACCTGAGCTGAAGGCAGTCGCTCAACCAACTGAGACACCCAGGCGCCCGAGGATATTATGGTTTTTACAAGTTTTCCTAAGCTTTCTGTATTTTTCTTCCTCCAAGTTCCCTCTTTATGTTTGTTTCCTTCAGATTAGACTCTTTTCTCAAACCTTTTTTGGTCCTTGGCTGGCTGTTCATATTTTATGACTGGGACATTGCAAAGCCGATGGGGAAGCTCTCGTAGATCTTGTCCACTGGGGGGCAACTGTCTTGCACCTTTCACTGGGTGTATCAGTCTCCTGTGGCTGCTGTAACAAACTGCCGCAAACTTGTGGCTTGAAACAACAGAAGTTTGTTTTCTCACAGCTCTGAAGGCCAGACATCCAAAATTAGCACAGTATCCCAGGATAAAATCAAGGTGGATAAAATCAAGGTGTTTGCAGAGCCACACTCACTCCAGAGGCTCCAAGGGAAAATCTATTCCTTGCCTCTTCTGGCTTCTGGAGGCTTCCAGAATTCCTCGACTTGTGGTCACACGTCTTCAGCCTCTATTTCTGTTCACATTGTCCCCTCCTCCTCTCTGTGTGTGGAATCTCCCTCTGCCTGCCTCTTATGAGGACCCTTGTGATGGCATTTAGGGCCCCCAGATAATTCAGGATGACCGTCCCACCTCAAGATCTTCAACTTAACCACATCTGTAAAGACTCTTCTTTCCTTATAAGGCAACAATGATAGGTTCCTGGGATTAGAGCCTGATACTTTGGATGGCCATTACTTAGCCTACTGCCACTTGCAGTATCTGGAGTTTTTCTCTTCATTGGTCAGTTCCTCCAGTGAGGAGTTCTCTGATCAACTCCCACCTGTGGCCGCGTTCTTGGCACTGAGGGGAAGAAGGAGGGCACACATTTTGAAGTCGGTAGACTTAAAAAATATGTATCCCTGTTTATAGTAGAGGATTCATCCTCAGTAAGGTCTAATGTGCCCAAGACCAGAAAGGCTTTAATTCAGTCTCTTCACAGAGGGAAGCCCTGGTTTTGGGTGATGGTAGGGGACAGATAGGGGGTGAGGGAATGGGCCAAGGATCTGGTTACTTTTTAAACACACCTGTAACTGATTTTCCTGTCTGCAGCACTCTATGGCCAGGGGTGACTGGCACCCTCAGTTTCTGGGCCTTTCCGGGGCTTTTGCACAGAGTGAACCAGGCTGTTTCTGGACCTAGATATCAACTTTCCAGTCTCCTAAGAAAGGTACCACTGTGCATAAACTTCCCAGTTTCCAAACTTTTGTCATTGTTGTCATTTTTGTCCTTGTGGGTTTTTATACAACTAAAAAGACTCCCTTTGGTGTTGTGCATGTGTGTGTGCGTGCATGTGTGAGTGTGTATTTTGGCAGACAGCACAGGTTTAATCTGCCTTTTAAAATTCTGTGTTGCGGGCGCCTGGGTGGCTCAGTTGGTTAAGCGACTGCCTTCGGCTCAGGTCATGATCCTGGAGTCCCGGGATCGAGTCCCACATCGGGCTCCCTGCTCGGCGGGGAGTCTGCTTCTCCCTCTGACCCTCTTCCCTCTCGTGCTCTCTATCTCGCATTCTCTCTCTCAAATAAATAAATAAAATCTTTAAAAAAAAATAAAATTCTGTGTTGCTCTTATAGACATTATATGGATAAAAAGTATGGAGATTTCCTCAAAACATTAAAAATAGAACTACTTGAAGCTCCAGCTATCCCGCTTCTGGGTGTACAGCCAGTGGAAATAAGAGTCCGTATCTTGAAGAGATATCTGCAGTCTCAAGGTCACTGAAGCATTATTCATAATAGCCAACTTGCGGAAGCCCCCTAAATATCCACCGACAGGGGCGCCTGGGTGGCTCAGTCGTTAAGCGCTGCCTTCGGCTCAGGTCATGATCCCAGGGTCCAGGGATCGAGCCCCGCATCGGGCTCCCTGCTCGGGTAAGCCTGCTTCTCCCTCTCCCACTCCCCCTGCTTGTATTCCTGCTCTCGCTGTGTCTCTCTGTCAAATAAATAAAATCTTTTAAAAATAAATAAATAAATAAATATCCACCAACAGATGAATGGATAAAGAAAACGTGGCATGGATATGTACCATGGAATATTACTCGGCCTTAAAAGAGAAGAAAATCCTGCCAGTTGTGACAACATGGATGAACCCGGAGGACCTGACGTGAAGTGAAATAAGGTTCTCACATCGAGGTGGAATCAGAGCAGTAGAGAGAAAATGGTGGTTGCAGGGGCGGGAGGAGGGAAGACATGGGGAGATGTTGGTCTGGGAGCACAAAGGTCAGTTTGCTGCAGGACGAGTAAACTCTGGAGATTTCACGTACCATGTGTTCCACTCTCAGTTTTAACTGTAAAATGGGTCTCAACACCCCTAAGCATGTAGCACTTTTGTGCTGATAATTATTTTCTCCTTTCTTCTGTTGATGGAGAGAATGTCACTGATCAATTTTTCTAATCTTAACTCAATGTTGCATTCCTGGAATAAACCCCAACTTTGTAGTTAGGTGAGAAAGAAAAAATAAATCACGTGTCTCTCAATGTGTAGTCCCCGGCCAGGGGCATCAGCATCCCCTAGAACCTTGCTGGCAATGCAGATTCTCAGCGATGCCTAAGCTCTCAGGGTGGGGACAGTAATCTGTGATCTAGCAGGCCTTTCTGCTGATTCGGATCCATGCCAGCATTTGACAGCCCCTGTGGCAGAGGTGCGTTGACGTGCCTCCTCTTACTCTTCCCGTGGGAGAGTGTGGGAGCACTTGGCCCAAGAGCAGTAGGGAAAGGCCCTCAGCAAGACCGCAGGGGGGCAGCGGAAAGACTCACCATGTGTCCGTTTTAGAAGTAAATATTCCTTCCATGAAGGCCTCTGGAGGCATCCATTTGACGGGCAGCATGGCGCAGCCTCCCTTTCGGTAGTAGCTGGCTCTGTGGGGAGAAGAGGAGACCCACACTTGGTTCTGGAGGGGTCTCCGAGTGGGAGCTCTGCTGGGCAACCATAGGCTGCAGCCATTCCAGGACCAAAATGGACGAGGGGTTCCCGTGGCTCGGGAAGAGGGCAGGGGGACACATGAGGGGTTAGCGTGGCTCAGGGGGAGGGGAGGGGGACACAGGTCATTGAAAATTAAGGTAAGAACTTTGGGGTCATTTAATAGGAGGTGGCCTGCTGGAGGAAAGGAAAGATCTATGTCATGACTAGAGTATCCAGTAGCAGATGGGTAGATTTCCCCGGATGGGTTTCGTGTATTAAAACTCGCAATGACTAACAGTATTCCAGCCTGGTGCCTGATGGTCCACAGTCATGGAAGACCCAACCTGGGGGCACTGAGAGCAGGGCCTGTGTCTTGTTCGCTTTGGATTCTCCGTGGCACTCACACAGTGTTTCGTTCAATATAGGTGCTCAGCAAATAATCTGGGGAGCTGGGGGGACACTGCCTTCCCGAGCACACCCTAGCCCGAGAACACGGGGCCGGTGGCAGAGTTGGCTCCAAAGGTGCGAGTTGATTTATTAGTTTTTATCATGAGCAGCATTAATGACATCACTGACATAGCTAATAAATTAGCTCACACCTTCGAAGCCAGCTCCACCCCCAGCCCTGCATCCTCCTGTTGGGGTGCGCTCAGGGAGGCAGCTCCCCACCAGGCGCCTAGATTAATTACTTCACTAAACACGTGCAGTGGTCCCCCTCCTCCATGGGGCATATCCTCCCAAGACCCCCAATGGATGCCTGAAGCCACAGATAGTACCAAATCTTACATAAACTAGGTTTTTTCTTATACATACATACCCATGATAAAGTTTAGTTTATAAATTAGGCACAGTGAGAGATTAACAACAAAACTACAATACAATAGAACAATTATAACAATATAGTGTAATAAATGTGAATGTGGTCTCTCTCTCTTGAAGTATCTTCTTGTCCTGTAGTTACCCTACTTCTTGTGATGTGAGATGATAAAATGCTACGTGAGGAGATGAAGTAAGCCCAGTGACACAGGCATTGGGACGTGAAGTTAGGCTACTGTTGACCTTCTCATGGTAAGTCAGAAGGAGGGTCATCTGCCTCCAGACCACACAGTTGACCCCAAACAACTGAAACCGGGGGTCAGAAACCACGGATAAAGGGGGGCCCCCGGACCGAGTATTTATTCTGCCGAGTGCTGAGGACATGAATAAGTCACGGTCTCTGTCGCCCCAGCGGAGAGTTTAGTGGAAGAAACAGGCACACAGACGCCTGTGGTGGAGAAGAACACGTCCAGTGATGGAGTGTGTACGAAGCTCAGGGACACAGAGGCGGGGGTGAGGGACAGCAAGAGCTTCACCGACGGGGGCCGATGGAGCCGAGTGCTGAGGAGCTCTCCTGGAAGACCATTCCTGACACGTGAGATGGCATGGGCGTGTGGGGCCGGTGGGGCCAGTTGGGGTGGGGAAGCTAGGGCCGGGGAGCCGTCAGAGCTGAGGATGGAGAGAAAGGGCTGGCTCGCTGAGTCATGAGTCATGCTGCAACATTCGTATCTTGAACTAAGGGCAATGCTGGGTATTCTGAGAAGGGAGGGGGAGGGGGGCGGAGACCCTGAGAGGTTAAGAGAAGGGAGAGCGGAGCACCTGAGCCTCCCTGTGCTGCTACCCTGCAGGACGGGGTGCCCTCAGCATTCCCTCCCGTGTCGATCCCTACCAGTTCTGTGGGGGCCTTCAGGGCTCCCCCATACTCTCAAAGAGTGAAAGCTCTCTGTGACCATCACTCCTCCCTCCTTCCCTGGATTAGGGGTGGGAGGTGCGTAATCAGTGACCATGCAAAGGAGTGACTTGCTCAGCTCACGCAGCAAGTCAGGGTTGTAAATAGCTGAAAATGAAATGAGGGGTTGGGAAGAGAAGAGTAAGGTAAAGTACAGTAGGAGGGTTTTCTTTTTAATTAGAAAAATAATTTTATTTTTTAATGTACCCTTGAGACTATGACAGGGGTAAAGAGATGAAGCTGAGCTATGGGCTCTGAACCACCCTCCCGTGGCTCCTGGTGTAGGTAGAAAAGACTGGGGAGCCGGCCCGTTATGTTGTCAGTTCTGGGGTGCTCCTGTCTGCGGTGATGGAAGCCAAGTCCCATTTAGAATTCCTGAGTATTGAGGAGTAAAAGTTTACTGAGAATTTTTTCCATATTAAGTATCCGGGTTACTCTGTGTCTGAGAACATTCTGGGATTAGAGAGTTGGAACCAGAAAGACGATCTCCTTAAGAACATGGTGTCAGTGACAGCAGTCGGTGTGATCCTAGAATTAGACCACCAGGCATGCGCACTAACTAAGCTGTTGTATGTCCTGGAAAGGGCCTTAAGGAAATGTTAGGCGGCCAGTGGACAGGGTGCCAGAGATGACTTAGGGCACAGGCAGCCACGTCCCAGTCTCTTGAGGGGATGGGGCTTTGTTGGGTGACAGCCGTCTTTGCTCACCTGTAGATGTCTCGGGCCATTCCAAAGTCTCCAATCTTGGCCACTCTGCCAGGGCCCGGACAGGTCAAGAGGCAGTTTCTGGCAGCAATGTCCCTGGAAGAAAAAAAGGAAAGCGAAAATGCATTTCCTAATTTTATTTCTGGGAAGATACACAGGTAATATTCATCACAAGGATTTTCACCTCCAATTAAAGTTCAAATAGTTCCCTCCTTTGCCCTCGATTTCCTTTACTACCTTATACTCCAGTATGGGAAAGATAGCTCGACCCATTCCAGCCCTCAGAACTAACAGGCGAGTGGAAACGGATTAGGGCAGATGATTGAAAATGTTTAATGGGATAAGCAATAATGAAAGTAATGATAATAGGAACTAGAATTTATTGGACTTTTACTCTGCACTAAGCATTGTTCTAAATGTTTCATGGTAATTATCACAACAACCCTAGAAGATACAGGGCGCTATTCTCATTTTTTAAAAAACTTAAGCTAAAAGAAGATCGTATAGGGACATAAGAAATGCCATTTGGCCTAGGTTATTGTTTTGTACAGATTGCTGTTGGTTTCTGCCAGTTGCCTGGGGCTTGTTCTGGGAGAGCATGACTTGCATGATACCAAGTTCAAGCAGGTCAAAGTATTCCCCAATAATTCTAGTTTTCTTTTTAAATAAGCTACTATTGTTCTTACATTTATGATTTTCACTAATGCTTTTGCTAAGCTGTATGCATCACAGCTCTGGGGCTGAGGAATCATTTCAAGTCGTAAAGTTATCGTGTTTTCTTTGCCATTGTACTCCAGATGGCCTATTTTCCTGTAGCACGCCTGGAAGGCATGATCAAAGCTCTCTAAGATTCATCCACTCATCAACTGCTTACCCATTCTTGACATGCATGTGGGAATGAAGGATGCATCCAAAGAAAGTCTGGAATGGGTCTCTAATAAAATTGAAGTCCTGGGCAGAAAAAAAAGTCTTTCTTAGGGAGTACAAGTGGCATTTTCCTATTTTCAACCAGTTTCCCAAAGGTCCTGATCTTTGGTGGAGAAATAAGGACATGGATAACATGTGAAATAAACAGGATCTGGACTGAGGGTCACTAGGATACTAGTGAGCGTCACTAAGATACCAGAACAGGGGGGCAGAGTGGGAGATGGGTGTTGTTAATGCCACTGACCTGATACAGAGGGTTTCAGTTGAATTTTGAGGAGCAGTGGTGCATAAAATACCCTAATAAAACTATGAAAGCATAACATATATGACATCAAAAAGAAGAAAAATAGTAGGATATATAGCCATTGCTTCTCAAGAGAAATATACTGAAGTAGACCAGAAACAATATTTATATTTCCAGGAAGGTCTTTATGCTGATGCGCATGAAATTGTTGCTTAAAACAGTGATCTTGAATTTAATGGTAAGAAAGTGAATGTGATATCAGAGAACACACCAAGAAGTTGTAGAATGACCCATAATTCTTGAAATGGCAATAAACCATGTCCAAAGGAAACAGATTTAATAGAAAAACAGGAGCCTGTGAATCTGGGAAAGGAGTTCCGCTCTGAATTCAGGAGGTGTGCACGCATGGGAGCCTGGGAATCTTGAGGCGGATGTCCGTGCAGGAGAGGGCATTAGAGGTCACACTGCTGTGGGGGTGTGTGCCACAGAGCTCGTGGACAGTGAGGAGGTGGGAAGGATGCTTTCCTAATGCTGGTTACCCCAAAAGAAAAGCTTTGATTGGGATGGACAATTTCTGTTAGATGTTGCCTTTTGCTTATAAAGCAGACCCTCTGATACATTCCTGATTTGATCTCCGACAATTTCATTTCTCAAAAAAGATAAAAGTAGCAACAAACAATTACTCTGGGACCTAATTCTGACCTTCAGTAACTATTTACAGTTGTGGAAGTGATAAGAATCTCGAGAGAATGTGATCCTGTTCTCTCGTTATCTACAATAACAGAGCACTGGATATGGTCGAAAGGTCTCATGGCTCCAGGAAAGCAGATTTTAAAAACGACAGAGGAAAGAAGAATGTGACCCCTCAGCCGGAGAGTCTGGACGGTTGGTGACAAACATGGGGCTCAGATGAGAAAGCAGAAATGATCTCGTTGAGAAGGGAAGGCAGGTGGCCAGAGTCACCAAGGTGGCTGCCCAGCTCGCTCTCCAGTGAGTCCAGACTTAGAGGACACAGACAACAGGTGGAAAGGTGGCTCTAGCCAAGAATGAATTCCAAGAAGAGCACAACCTTGTCCTATCTGAGCAGCCATAAAGCCCAGAGCTGAGATTTATGGAACATTCTGGCCACAACAGAAAGGGCAAGAACAATGGCAGGGCTGCCCCGTGCTTTGAAGCAGAGGGCGTAGCTTTGGAGGAGAACATGAAGGACTGGTCCCAGCTCCTTTTTCACCCCTGTTATTTCTATTAAGCACAAGACCTACAAGTTGGACAGAGTTAGAATCAAGAGGAAGATCTGAAGACCAAAGGGATGGAGTGACAGTGAAACGATATGCCGGTGTGAACGTTTATTGCCTTGTTTCAGGAATGAATTTAGGAGCCCAGGTGAGTTCCTTTCTTGATTTTTAATTTCTCCATTTTTATTAGGGCAGGAAGCATAGCTTGCTATCTGCTTACATGCTTTTCCATCTCTGAACTCACACAGCTTCTCTCATTTCCTGCTTTGTACTTACGTATTCTAATTATTACAAACATGTCTTATGCTCTTTGAAGACATTCGTTAAAAAGTGATTGTTCATTCACCAGGCTGGTATTTACTAACTGAGAAGCATATCATTAGGAAGAGCTTTGCAAACAGCCTAACAATCTATTTGACTTTTCAATTTCAGAATCAAGGTGTCAGCTGAGAAAGTCGTCAACATCCACATGGAAAGAAATATGTATAATCTATCATGTCTATAGCATTATATGTGGATTTGATGTCCCAATCAAATACCATTTAAACATAAGTGTCCTATAGAGTATAGAGTATAGAGTAGAGGAAATGAAGTATGGAAGCAAAGAAAATGATCTATTATGCTTCATTTCAGAGTATTTTAGAAAAAATTAATGTATCCAACAGACATTAATCGTGCCCCACGAAATACCAGGGATACGAAGATGAATAAAACAGGTCCTTGCCTTAGAGTTACCCATAGTCAAATATGTGAAAATAGGAACTCCTCTAACTTCCCTTAAGGAGCTCGGTTTTCTAGATAGGAAAAATGTTAAAGTGATAGTGGACTGCAAGGTACCGGCAGGAGTCCCTGCGGAAGGTCAAGAACAGCTCGGCTAGATCTCTGGCACTGGGAAGGAGATTTTATGATACCCATTTTACATATGGGGTAAATGAAGCCCTGATAGAATAAGTAATTATCTTAAAGACAAGTGAAGCCGAGTCATCCAAACAAGTCTGGAGAGAGACCTACCATTGTACTCTGAAGGGGGGCACCTGGGTGCTTGAGACGTGCAGGGAAGCTCATAGAAGGCAGAGGGGAGAGCAAGGTCGCTTTGACTCACCGGTGGATGAAGTGATTTTCCTCCAAATACTGACAGCCACAGGCGATGTCCCGAGCCACGTGCAGAAGGTCCAGCATGGCCAGGGAAGAGGGCTGGTTCTGTGGGGAGACAGAAGCGGTCCGCTGATGAGAAGCTCATGGGCAGAGAAGATCTGAAACACGGCCTTTAAGAGCCGGCAAGGAGCGAACACGGACTTGCTGCCCAGCTGGGTCTCAGCCCCGGCCCACTTCAGAAATCACGAGGCAGCTTTCAACACATACGTCCGGGCCTCAACCCAGACCAACGAGCCCGCCTCTCTGGGGGAGCGTTAGTGTTTTCAGGTTCCCTGCCCCCCCAGGTCCGTGCAACGTGCAGCCAGAGCCGAGAGCCCCCAAACTACAGCAACCCAGGATGGGGCAGGTCTATTCTGCACATTCTTCCACCTCAAACTTCACAAACACTCAAACCTCCCAAACTTATAAACAAACCTGCAAAGAAATCAAGGGAGATAGATTTTTAAAATGTTCTGTTTAAATGTTTAAAAATATTTAAAGAAATAATCTTCTTCAAGAAGATCTAGACCTAAAGTGGACTGAAAAAGAAAAGTTTTCAGGAAATGCTGGGCTGGTGAAGAGCTATGTCAAGCATTCTTCTGTGAAGTCTCTTGTGCAAAAGGAGAAGTCACCCCACCCCCGGGGGTGCAGCTCGTCTCAGCTTCCTTGAAAGCCTTGCCAGGCACCTGGCAGGATTTTCCGAAGGCTACATCCCATCTTGGTGTCTCTCTTAATTCCTAAATCCTCGAAGTCTGCAGTAGCTTCTTATCACTGTGTCACATTCACTTTGCTGTTGTGTTTCTTTGACCATATCCCCAAGTAAACTGCGAGGTCCCTGAGCGGGGATTTCAGCGTCCAATTCCGCGGTACACAGCATGATGCTCGGCACACGGCAGTGGTTCGGTGAATACTGGGGCGGGGTGGGGGGTTGGTTGATGACAGCTAAACTTTGATTTACCCAGATGCCGGCTGGGAGTTTTCTCTGCCCCAGATCAAGGCCTCCTCAGGACTCCCTGGAGCAATAGTATGGATCTAGGGGAGGCAGAGAGGAGTCAAGCTGCTCTAGGGTATGCTTCAATTCTGGGGGAGACAACTTGGGGAAGGATATACCCTCTGCCCACGAGACATCAGGCAGTGCCTTATATGCAACAGAGCAAGTCCAGGCACATGACCTCCTTTGATGCAACATCCTGTGTGGTTGTAGGGAAGAGACGGTATCTCCATATTAAAGAGAAGGCTGAGGGCTCAGAGAGGCTAGGTGACTCACTACAGGTCACACAGCCAATAGCCGGGAGCCGAAACCGCCCTGAGCTGGGCTTTAAGGATCTGGGTTGGGGGAGGCAGGATTCTAGGAGTTAAAACTGGGCTGCTCAGGATAACATGTCCAAGAAGGGATGGAGAATTCATGGACACAGTGCATAGTACCCAACTGAATCAGAATACAGCACACAAATGCAGTGAGCAACATAGTTCAGTGGCCAGTTGAACTGACCTGGGCTTCATCCCTGCTTGTCCTTTACTCACTGTGTGGCCTGGGACTAATTACTTTGCCTCTCTCCAAGCCAGTGTCCTCGTCTGAGAAAGAGGCATGTTACTATCACCCTCGCTAGATTGTTACAAGGACCACAGCAAGAATCACAGAGTGAATCCTTCATGAAAGGATCTGGAGTTATGGTGGGGTTACTGCATGGAGGACCATGGTGGTCTCAGGAAATGGTCCCTGTTTTGGCTTCTCTAAGGGCCTGATTAGGGTCAGAGCCTCTGGGCACTGTGAGAGAGTACCCATCTCCTGGGATGGGGGGGAAGTAATATATTTCCAAGGGAAATATTAATCTTTTTTGCTATAGTATTAGAAATATCTTCTCTCTCTCCAGGAAAATGCTCTATTCCTATAAAAGAGGACTGGTCATAGCTTCCCCTGAGTCTCTTTGTGTCTTAGCCCCCATCACTCAGGATGCAAGGACCACTGATGTCTTAAAAGCCTGGCATCCGACAGGGACTAAATCTTCCCAGGCATTAACCCATGGGCCAGGTTTATCTGAGTTCCCTGTCTTCGGCTGCTCAGAGCAAATTAACTGCTCCACTAATCAGTCTGCACAGAAGCGGACAGTTGGCAAGCTGTGTGTGTGTGTGTGTGTGTGTGTGTGTGAGTGTGTGTCTGGGGGGAGAATTGGGGAAGGTTTAGATGTTGTGTCAAACTGATAATCAAACTAGCAATGCAGAGTATAGTTAGTGTGTCCAATGGCATTTGTATTGATCCGGGCAAAGAAGGAGTTGGAATCAGGGTTTGTTTTTTTTTTTTCACCGATTCACCACTGAGTGTAGCACTGTTTGGCAATCATACATTCTTTGGGCAGCCATGGTCATGGACATATATCTAGTCCAGTACTCAGAGAGGATTTTGTTCAGTATTTCCCAAAGCGGGCTTGTGGGATGGAATTTGATCAAAGAGGCATGGGAATTCCTGGGTCCAAACGGTTTCTTGAGCATAGGAATTATCAGTCTTTGCTATACACTGATGTCCATAGCTAATCAATAAGACAGCAGTCTGCATGGCTCTGAAATGTGTCTGACCACGGAATTCTTTCGAGCATGCGTGTGAGTGTGTAGCTCCTCAGGGCCCTGGTGTTCCCCTCAGGGACACTGTTTAGACCAATATCCTACTTTTACAAGTCAGAAAACAGGCCCAGTGAAGGAGAATGATTTCTTTGGTTACAGCTTCTGAGGGGCTTTTCCCAAAGGGTAACGTATATATTAATAAAATGCAGAGTAATATTGGTATCTATTCCTTCCTGAAGTAGCTTCTCCTGGGCCATTTAGAGGTGAAGAATCACAGGAGATGGGGTAGGAACTGTTTCACCAGTGAAAAACAGAATAGGGATATATTTTAAAGATTTACTTATTTTAGAGAGAGAGAGCAAGCGAGCAGGGGGAGGGGCAGAGGGAGAGGGAGAGAGAGAATCTCAAGCAGACTCCCCACTGAGCGTGGAGCCTGCCACGGGGGTCGATCTCAGGACCCTGAGATCATGACCTGAGCCCAAACCAAGAGTCAGATGGTTAACTGATTGAGGCATCTGGGCGCCCCCAGGGTAGGGGTATATTTTAAATTGATGCATAGAAGGGCACGAGAGAAAGGTGAAAGGAAGAAGCAGGTGCAGACGGGGAATGTGAGGTACAAAAAGCAGCAGAAAGCCATTGTCAAAAACGATGAGAAGTCACTGCTGCTGGGGCCTCGTATTTCCTGGCTGCTGATGTGGCTGACTTTTCACCAGAACCAAATGCCCCTTCGTGAATTTTGGAGCCAGCATTGGTCTGGCAACCTCAGAGCCAAAGATTTACACTTGGGCATTAGCCCAAAGCGAAGGTTCCCGTCTGGACACTGCGATCCCTGGGATACAGGAACCTCCCGTGTCCTGAGCATCTGCTCAGAGCCGCTACCCACAGGCATTGCCATGTTCCAAATAGGTACAGACACTGTTGTGGTTAATGACCGCCACCTTTAATTGACAGGTTACTGACCCCTTAATGGCTTCTGTCATTATTGATTGAATCAACGGATACCAAAGACAGCTATTAGCCTGTATCAGGCTTATCTTAAACCCTCAATAAATATTTGTTGAATAAGGATTGGGTCTGTAAAATTACTTTGAATGAATCTTTCCTTCTTGAGAAGGTGGGGTCCTGGGACCAAATGAGGTTTTCATGAATTTTGTTTCCATGACAGCCTGGGTTGGCCGGGGCATCCATTCTGTCCCATCGTGTCTGCACATATTCGTTCTGTCACTTCATGTCAGCACACCTGTTATCTGAAGCCAGAGCCTCCCAGACTGTCTCTGAGGTCCTTCGATCCTGATAGTCTATGGGACTGCTGGACCAGGGACTGCAAGGAGAGAGGACCAAGACCGTGTCTGATTCCGAATGCCCAGCCAAGCGCCTGCGCACAGCAGGGGTCAGGTAAGCCCTGAGAGTCTCAGGGGGTTCAAACAAATGAACCAGGTGGAACTCGGGCCTTTGAATCCAGTGTCACACCTCTACCCGCCGTCTTTCGGTGCGTGTATTTCTCCAGCTGCGATGCTCATTGGCCAGTCCCTCCGGCCTTCATCCCGTGCAGGGTTACTTGTATAGCCCCCTCTGCCCACGACAATGCATGTTCCTTTCTCACAGTCAACCCGATCCTCACCCAGCTAAACTGGATTTTGTGGCTCTGAGAATCCATGCCCAACGCCCGGCAAATCTCCCAACCCCCAAGGAAGTTGCAGCCACAAACTCATGTTCGAGGGCTCACTCTGGAGAGCTATAATCCAACACTTAAAATCACCTCTTGTGGGCGGGCGTCTCAGGAAGGCCCGGCTCACCTGGGATGCGTGGGTGTGTATGAAGGTGAGGAGCAGGATGATTGGGGTGCTACCAGGACTTGGGGGCTTGGCTGGCAAGGAGAGCCACGCAGAGGAAGAGTGGGGTCAAGGGTTAGAAGAGTGGATTTGCTGAGTGGGATCCTGACCCTCAGAAGCGGCCCTCCCAAGGAGAGTCGACCAGCTTCTGGCTGTGGGCATCCCCTGGGCGGTGCCTGCAGTTAGAGGTCACAACTTGGCATCAGGCTCCTTAGGGTGGTGCAGCGGGTAGGAGGTGGCCTGAGGTGTGAACGATTTGCCTTTCCTTGCTGGTACTTTGCTCTTTGGGACAATACACAAATCATCTTTATCATCACAAGGCAGAGATGCTTTTGCTTGCAAGAGAGAGGGAAGATCCCCGCCCCCATGTCCTCGGGTTTGCCAAGTGATGGGGTCCCAGGTCCCCTGTACAAGCAAGTCTGTCCTTTGTGTGCACAATACTTTCTTCTCAAGCCTCAGGAGCATCCAGGAGGAAAACCAGAGCCAGGTCTCCTTCCAAAGTGTGATGCTATGTGTCCTTATTTGACCCCTGCCAGAAGCACTGCTGAGAATCTCAGGGCACAAGAGCTGAAGGCTCTGCCTTGCCGAGTGGTGGTGGGAAAGCCTTTGAGGCTGGTGTCCATACCCTGCAGGGACGTCTGGCCATATGGGCTCTCAAGGACCCAACCTCATCTTGGTATTCCATGGCTTCCCAAAGAGGATCATTTGGATAAACAGCATGGTGCGTTGGAGCGAGCCCTGAATCAGGACTCCCAAGTTCTGAGTTCTAGTCTCCGTTCTTCCACTTCCTGTGTGGCCTCAGCAAGTCACCTAACCTCTCTTGAGTCACAGTGTTCTTATCTGGAAAATTAAGGTGAGATCTACGCTGTCTACTTTACAGGGTGGCTTTCAGAAATGTGGCAACCACGAGGAAGATGAAGATAATGCTGATGAGGGTTATTATGAGATGGGGTTGGTCTTTCACCCCCCTCCCCTCATCCTCCTGTCAGCTGTGCTCAGGTGTGCACACACTCAACTTTGCCGGGAGTTAGACCGGATTCTTCTCAGATGCTGAGACAGATCACCCAGAGGCTGGTAGGAAGAGTATGGAGGCTCCCTGGCCTAAGGTGTCCTAACTTCAGTCTGACGGACGGTGGGGATTAGAGCAGGTGTGACCTTTCAACGTTTCTGCCTCCAGTCTGAGTCCGTGAGAGCACTGCGTTCAGTTCTGGGCTTTCTGGCTCAAGGTGGCTGTCCTCTTGTTCTGCTGCCCTGGGGGTGGGGAGGGTACAAATCTTCCTGGTGGTCTTCACGGTCCAGCAGCAGCTTGAGGAAGCTGGGTCCTAGCTCGGGGGTCTGCTCTGCTCCAGTTCCTGATGCTCAAGGCTTCCTGAAGACCCCGGCAGGGACAGGAGTTGGCAGCTGGACTTGGGGTACGCCCCATGGGCTACGTCTTAGAATTCAGAACCATCTCTGAGATGTTCTAGTCCAGCCCTTGGATTTCACACTGCCGATCCTGAGGTTAGGGGGGGTCACAGTCCTAAGCCACATGGGTTGTCTAATGGCCCACCAGGATGGGGGGGGTGGCATTCCTGGGTCTACCTAGGTTTCTTCGCTCCCCCAAACTCCAGCCCCTTAATCATGACACACATGCTGAACCTTCATAAATATTTCAGTATTTTATTTTGACAGTAAATCTACAAGCTCAGGATGTCCCCACTTGGAGATGGGGGTAGTGGGGTTCAGAATGAGTAGATGTAGAATGCCCTGCCCCAAGTCGGTTGAGTGAATGACATGGCCGACATGAGAGTCCCCCTCTGTGCTTGTCCCTAATTCTTGGAATCAGCAGGCCACAAAAATGGATTCAGGCTGGAGGACCCATTGCACAAGCCTGGCTCAAGCTCCCCAGGGTGGGTTCAGCCGGCATCCACCTTCTGTCCAATCTCTGCTGGTCATTCCCCCAGATCCAAGCCCCGGGGCCGACTACCCTCCCACTGAGGATGCTGCTCCTCAGGCTGCCCACTCTTGCCCCTCCCACCCTCTGCTCCATTCCCTGGCACAACCACTAGGGCAAGACTGGGTCTCACTCACCGGGCGAGGGCGGGTCTCCCGGAGGAAGGACTTGAGGTCTCCTCCTGCCATGAGCTCCAGCAGGATAAATCGGGGCAGGGCTTGTAGACTCACCCCAATACAGCGCACGATGTTCTGGTGGTTGAATTTGCTGCAGAGCAGAGGGGGAGTAACCAAATTTAACTGAGCTGAGTCTGGGAAAATCTTAAGTAGGAAAAGCAGGAGACAAAGTTATGTTTTCAGCAGCTGCATTATGTAAATGCATTCGGTAAATGTGGGTAGCCGGGGTCCCACACAGAGCCTAGGATGGGGAGAATCTCACTGCTGAGCAGGTGGAAGAAGCGGAGGGCAGGCTGGGCAGGAGCTCAGTCTGCAGGAGAGTATTTGCCTGGAGACAGAAGGACGCTGCACAGGTACTTGGTGAGGAAGTGGGGTCAGAGTGGGGGCGGGGCAAGAGAGCGGCCAGGGTCTTGTCCACTGGTGCACGGACTGCTGGCTAGGACTCATGTGTGAGTTCTTTGAGGAAGCCGTCAGGCAGAGAAGCTGAAGGAATTGCTTCCTCCAGGGACCGCGTGAGCCCTGCCAGGTGACCGTGTGTGAACGAGAGTGAGGAAGCGGGCCCTGGGTGCACCCCCATGGGTGCTCATGGGGAGAGACTGAGTCTGGCCACTGGGCCCTAAGATTTGGGTTTTCTTGCTAATGGGATCCTGTTAGGACACCCGGGGCATGGGGCCAGTGTACTCCGTGTGGGCACACTCGTGCAGAGCTGAAGGACTACACTGCTCTTCACGGAAATACAGTAGTGATGGGAGATCAGCAACAGTGAGAAGGGATGATTTGGGTCTCCTTCCACATCATCTTATACTTCCCAAATTTTAGTCAATAATCATGTATCACCTGTCTAATCGGAAAATACGTTACCCTTAGAGCTAGGGGCTGAGCCTGCTGGGCATCCTCCTGTGGCCCCAGACCCCATGGGCACCTCACATCCTGTCCTGGCCTTATTCCCCTGCCCCTTCCACGCGGGGGGGCGGGGACCCCAGGCCACCCCACTGTGTCTGGATGTTTGAGGCTCTCCAGCATCACGGGAGGCCACGAGCGTGGTGAGATCTTAAGGTCAAACACCTGTGTCCTCTTGAAGGCAATCTGCTGTCAGAGCACATGCCCTCAGGGGCCCTGGGCACTCAGATTTCAAGTTAGGGGCCCCAGAAGCACACATTGAAGGGTGCAAGCCAGCTGGTGTGGGACAGGGTGCGGTGGCCTCCATCACGTTAGGGGCATACTTCCTTACACAAGATCTGAGAGCTGGGATTGGTGAGGGGCCTTGTGGAAGAGTTACCGGGGGTGAAAGTATATCGTCCACTGTCAACAACTAGCATGCTCTATTAAGAGAAGCGGGGGAGCCCCACTGGACGACACAGGGGTGCTCGTTGAAGGCAGAGTGATATCCGTCGGATTATTAGGCCACAGAAATTTTTTTTCTTGGACAACCACCTGGGGCTATTTCACCCTGGTAAGATGTGTTAAGAATTTTAGGGAGTCTCCCGGTGGAGAGGAAGGGGGCGCTGGAGGACGACACTGTGTCCCTTGGAGACTGACAGGAACGTCCAACAGGGGTGGGGGTGTCTCTCTGTGGCTTTATTTACCTAATAATCAGGGCTTCCATGAGGAAATCCAGTTCGTCCTGTTCAGAACACACTTCAGGCAGCGTCTGGGCACAGAAGGGGAGGGCGGGAAAGGAGAAGGCTGTGAGCCGCAGCCAAGAGCTGAGGCCCACACAGACTGCCGGCCAAGGTCAGGCCCACGATGGAGCTGCCTCTTACCTTTACAGCCACTTGCAGGGGGCTCGGGTCGCTGGGCACTCCAGACACCTGACCTTCATACACCTCCCCAAATGCACCATGGCCCAGTCCCCTGTGTACAGGAAAAGGCAAGGTGAGGCAGAGGGGGGCGGGCCACGAGAAAGAGACATACAAGAGGCGGGGGTCACGTATGCACTGAAGAGTAACACCCCCCCACCTGGCTTGGCTAGACCATCCCAGGCCGCCACTGCGTTATCTGAAAACTGGCAAGAAAGGTTCCCACCAGGGATTCGGGACACTGGTTGAATGTTCATTCATTCAATGAAGACTAAGTCTTCGATATCCACCAGGGTCACAGAGCTGAAGAAGACACGGCCCTTCCCCAGGGAAAGGCTCCCACGCCCTGGGGAGGGACAGATCACTGGCAGACCCTCCTGCGGGGTGTGCTCAGTAAATGATGGAGGAAGGCATGGGGTGATCTGGAAGCTCAGAGGAGGGGCACTTTGCTCCACCTGGAGAAGGAGGGGCCAGGAAGACTCGGGGAGGGAGCACTTGAGTGGCTTTTGAGGAATGCCCTGGCTCCCTCCCATGTTGTTCTCCTCTCGCTGTGCAAACCCCATGAATAGATGGGGTGTTAAAATAAACAATTACCTCCCCAAATGGCCCCAAACATTAAACGTTCTCCTCCCGGGAGGGTTGGAAATGCCTGAGAGGTGGCTTTGATGGCCTCTTGTGGCTAGAAGAATCCATGGTGCAGGGAAGACATCCAGCCCCCCTAGAACTCCTCCCCACTTGCCATCCCCCCTCCCCTAGTACAGCCATGGAGCACTCACCGGATGAGGGTGATGTTTTTCCGAGGCACCTCCTTCAGGTCACTGATGGAGGAGGTCTTGCCAGCAAAGCAATAGTTGGGGTTGTAGTCAGTCATGATGGTGGAAGTGCGGAGCTTGCTCAGCTTGTACTCCGGGCTCTGAAGCTCCATCTGCATGGCTTGCAGCTCCTGGTGCTTCCGGCGGTACACTACAGACAGATGAAGGTTAGCTGCAGTGCGGCCTGGACCAGGCAGCCTGGCCCCTGAAGCCCAGCACGGGCTGCCTCCTCCAGGAAGCCTTCCTGGATCTCCATCTCCTCCTCGGGGATCTAAACGTTTCCATCACACTTAGTAATACTAACAAAATGAAAGATCATTTAAAGGAGGTGTACAGTTTAAAATCATGTCAATGGAAAAGATTTTATTGTCTCATACAGGGACAGAAGCCCATTAGCTGGGGTCCTCTGAGAAGCAGACCCAAGATTCAACGTGCAAGGATTTCATTAGGGGAAATGGCTGAGTGGTGGTGGGGAGGGGCCCGGGCAGGCTGGGAGGGCCGTCAGGCGGTGTTGAAAGTCTGAATCCCAGTGTGGGAGCATGAGGGAAGGTTGAGTGAGGACCTGAGGGGGCCATGCAATCTAAACAAGTTTCAGCAAGACTGCTGAAAGTTCTGAAGCCAAAGTCAGCTCTCAGAGGGGGCCCCTGTCTCCCAGGGATGGACCTGCCTCAGAGTCTCTGCTCAGCCCTGTCACTGGTGCAGCTGGGTGTCCTGGTCACTTGGGCTTCCTACAGCTAGAAACTGCCACGGACTGAAAAGGTCTCTCCACTGGTGCCTGAGGACGTGCGTGCATTCTAATCCCGCCTTCATTACTAACAACTGAGCAACACTGACCAGGTCGTGTGACCTCTTTGGCCCTCAGCCTCCTTCTCTGTAAGCAGGGGCAGTAACTCCTGCCTGTCCCCTAAGCACCCCCACTCCCTATCCTTGGGGATGTCAGAATGAAATGAATTCACCAACGTAAAATGGTTTTGAAAAAGTCTCAAGAGCCCTACCGGTGGAAGGGACCATCATCACTGCTCTTACTCTCTATCTGTGAGAACATTCTGTAGGGCCAAGTCCATGGGAGGCAAGACGAAACTGTGATGCACGGGATGGATTCTGTTTTGAAAGCCCCGTCCCGCTAGTTATGGGCCAGGGCAAGTGAGTCAACAGCTGTGTTCTCAGGGCCCTCTTCTCTGAAATGGACCAACCATGCTCATAGGGTCAAGTGAGGATTCAGTGAACTAAAATTTGTGAATCACCTGGCACGTGGTAAGTGTGCAGCAAGTGTTAGCTCTCATCATCCTGTCCCTCAGAAGGATGGCATCATATGGGAATAATGCCTGTTGCCCTCCCCCTGGCCACCCGCAGGTTCCCTTACCACCCGCCCCCAGCTCCCCAAGGGGGCTGTTCTAAAAGTGCCGTCCATGCTGAGCCTTCCCTTCTGCCTTCCTTCATGTCCCTGCCCACCTGCCCTGCACATTTCCAGCAGGAAGAGCCTGGCTGGACCTCGCTGAGCCCTCCGAGACCGGCCTATCAGCTCACCTGGGCTCACGGGCCTAACAGAAACTCTTAGAAACCAACCAGAAACTCTTAGAAACCAACTTCGCGTTGCCTGCCCCACATGGGGAAGGGCGGGGCTGGAGGTGTTCCCTGGGGAGTGAGCCCAGCCAGGTGTCCCCTGGAGCCCAGGTCTGATGGCAGCTGGAAGTGAACTCGGGGGGTGGGGCGAGCTTTGGCTACTGTGTCCTCCTCTGCAGAGTGCCTCCAGAAGGCTCTACGGGGCATCGACGTGTGGAATCAGCAGTTCCTCTAGGGAACAAAGGTGGTGCTGGAGGCTGGGGGAGGGGGCTTCGGGTTGAGGCTGGCCTGGGCTGCTGTAATCACCGCCCACCCAGAGTGACACCTCTGCATCCATGGCAAAGCAGGAGATGCTGTTCTGTTCCACCAGATCGGCCTCCCTTGCCTCCCCCTGCCCCGCCTCCCTGGAAGCCCCGGGGCTCTGGCACACTCACCAATCATGATGCCGGAGAAAGCCAGGACCAGGGCGGCCACGAGGGCGGAGGTCACGACCGACAGGACCAGCGAGAGCGGCAGGTGGGGCTCTGGGGTGGGGGACGCTGCAAGACAGGTCCCCGCGGGGCACTGGTGACAACCCTGATCACCCTCTGAGCTAGCTCCAAGACAGAAATACCCTCCCTCACCCGGACAGACCCCACCCGCTCCTCCCCCACTTGGAGGCCTTCTTTGCAGAGGGCCAGGGCAGGCAGGGGGCTCATTCTGGCTTACAGCCTTCAGCAGTAGCTTTTGGGTGAGGCAACACGTGGCAGGGATAAATATCAAATCCTGGACGTTGATCCCCAACATCAAGTGCACAATGACACGAGGAGGGTGGGAAGGTGAGCCAGTAGAGGCTAAGGAAGAGCTTCAGCGGCCTTGGGTGACCACAGGCTCAGTACGACCCAGGAACAGAGGGTGCCCGTCAGTGACCCTGGGAGGCTGAGTTACTGCCCGGGGCCCAGGTGCACACCGGCACAGCCCCCACTGGGGCATCCTGCCTGGTCCTGGACACTACATCTCACAAGGACATTGTCACTGGAACGCCCGCAGATGCAGGACACAGGGTGGGGAGGAGACAGGAAAGTGTCCCATGTGAACTGATGGAACCAAATGCGTTACTTAATCTGGAGACTTGTAGGAGGAGGGAGACGGAGCTCGGGCTTCAAACCCCTGCAGCGCCTGGGAGGATCTGCAAGTCCGGCTTGCAAACTCTTGATGGGACAGCGCGCCTTGGGAGTGTGGAGGTCCCTGGCGCTGGGGTGTTCCCGGGCAGACAGGATGGCCCCTTGGTGGGGACGTGGGGCGGCACGCCCTGGCTTAGGGGTGGGACAGGACACCTTAGGGCTCCTTTCACACACAGGTCCCTCTGCCCAGTCCTTAGAGCGCCCGTGTTGGGGAGGACAGATGGGGTTCAGAACGCTTACCGAACTGCATCTGAGGAGCCCCAGAATCGCGGACACAGGCTGCGGCCTCCGTGGGCTCACACTCTGGGCCCCTTCCCTGTCACCGCCCTCACCGCCCCCTCACCGATGCAGGAGATGCCGTCCTCAGCCAGCACTGTCCCGTGGTCACAGAAGCAGATGACCTCGTGGCTCTCGGGGTCCATGTGGCACTCGTCTCCCTCACAGTGGCTGCAGTTTAGATAATGCTTAATATTCACTTCCCCGTGGCCCTCCATCACTGGTGACAAGAAGGGAGGATCAGCCTGGGGTTGAGGCAGCGAGGACCACCCTGCACCCCGTTCCCGGCCTCTGCGTGTGCTTTGTCTCTAGCTGGTCAGTGTGGGTTCTCTGGCTCCTGCCCCCATGTCCCCCAGCCCCTGAGGGACCGCGGTGGGGAGGGAAGTCCCCCATGCAGCTGAAGGAGCTCAGACAGGGGACACTTGGCTGCACTGCTGCGGGCGGATGGGCGGCTCCGAGTGCACGCCCCTCTGGCGGGCTGGCCCAGGTCACGGGGCTATTGCTGCGGCATTTTCTAGGACGGGCCTGCCTGAAAGTCAGTCTTCTGCCTGCACGTCCGGATCAGACCACACACCTCCTGACTTCCAGAAAACGTGCTGAGACGAGCAGTGGGAAGACTTGCCTGTGAGGGACCCGTAATGGTGCCTTCCTATCTTGGCTCTGTGTCAGGGGCCCTGAGGTTTTGTCTGGGTGGGAGAACTGGCCTGGCAGAGGGGATACCTTTTAGAGCGGGGGTATACAGGATGCCCAGCGGACTGATGAAGGAAACCCCGTCCTCCCCGTCCATCTCGGGGTCATTGTCTGAGGCCGCGTTGCCGCCTGTGCCAAACCAGGGAAGAGTTTACCGCAGAGAGGCAGGGGGCCCATGTCGCAACACATCTGCGCATCAGCGGGGCATGCGGGGCCTCAGGGCGGTGAAGGGGGCCTCAGGGCGGGGCGGTGGGGAGGGAAGGGAGGCCTGGGGCACAGGGGCAGCACTTGGGGTGTGGCTCAGGAGATGCCGGGTATGGGGGCCACCTTCCCTCCCGGGCTGGGCCAGCTCCTGCCGGGGAGTCCCCACCCCTGCACTGGGGCTGCTTGGAAGCAGTTCGTGTGAATAAGGATCAGGAGTGGTCTCGTGTCCTCAGGCTGGACTAGCCCCTTGGTGCCTCTTCCAGAACTGGCCAGGCCAGTAGCACTGAGGAGTTGCTCTCCAGTCCCATTGGGTCAGGGTGAGACATGGGGGGATGGGCCCCTGTGCCTTTAGGCTCCTGTCCCTCCTTTCAGCTGGGCTGGGTTATCTTTGGGCTCCCCCCCTCAGGCTCCTCCCCCCCACCCCCAGAGTTTGGAAAAGAAGAGCATCTGGTTAATACAAGCATCTTACACACAGCAGAAAGCAAAACACAGACAGAACATCACAGTGCGTGCATGCATCGTGTCCTAATCTGTGGGGATGGTGGAGCCGCCGTTTCCCAGCCTCCCAGCCTCCCAGCCTCCCAGCCTCCCAGCTTCAGAAGCCTCTTGGGCTCTGCTCTGAAGCTCGGAGGAGAGCTGGGGCCAGTGGCCGGCTGTTGGCTGACCGGCTGGGCTGGGGCTGCCCCTCGGCATGGAGGGGGCAAAAGTTCTGGAAGCTGGTGGGCTGGCGCAGGGAAGGCAGAGGGAGTCTGTGAGGCCAGAGGCCACAAACCAGGCCCTTAAGGAGCTGGCTTGGCAAAGACTCAGGCCAGGCCGTCCAAAGGGAGGCACGGGCCTGGGGAGCGTGGCCTCTAAGGTTCTCGTGGCAGCGCGACGTTAGGGGCGGCTCAGAGAACAGTCTACGAAATCGAAGCCCTTTATCATTGGCTTTGGGGGAGGCGGGCATCAAGAACACAAGAGCTCTTGAAGCCTTGAGGCAGGATGCTGGCTCGAGAGCCAATACCCTGCCTCTGGCCGGTCCTATGGGGCTGAGAGGAAAGCGTGCATGGTGACATCACAGTCCACACTTGGGGTGGGTGGGGGGAGGGCAGGCGAGGGCCAGGGAGAGGACAGGAGTGCCTAGGACTAAGAGGGAGGGAGTGACACCTTGAACACGAATCATCTTTACCTATATATCCTCCGCCTCCTCCACCTGAGGAGCACCCCCCTCCACCCCCTCCGAAACCCCCTCTTGTCTCCCACCCCCACTTCTTCATGGCCTGGGGGCAGGAATGTCCTCCGGTGGCACCCTCCAGCAAAGATTTTCCAGACCAGAGCAAGGAAGTGTTATCATTCCAGCCACCTCCGCCACCTGCAGGAAGAGACAGAGAAAACCTCAGGTGAGAGGGTCCTGGCTAGGCTCGGCCGGTCCGCCGCTGGACCCGGCACAGGAGGCAGGACGCCGTGTGCTCGTGCTCTGAGGGTGCTCACTCCGGCTCCAGCGCCCAGGGGGGCCTGGGGGCTTCGGAATCCACAGCTGGAAAAACAGCAGCAAGCCCTTGGCCCTAGTGAGACCGGCTTCGGCCTCAGCCGTGCACATCCAGTTGGGGCCATGCTTCAGACCCCTGGTTCCCATCAGGCCTTTGGATCAAAAGCTGGGGAGGGTGTTTGGTTAGGGGTGGGGAAGTGGGGGGACGGGCAGCATGACAACTAAACTCATTCCTCTGCCTCTTCTCCATGCCCCAACTCCTGAAGTGCAGGGACTTTGTTTCATTAATGCTTCGCATCCCAACAAGGACTGGGACCTGCCAGTCCTTGGGCATCCAACTGTCAAAATCCTGCTGGGGTCACTGCAGTGGGGTTCCTCTGCAGGGATCCCGGACTAGGCCAGACAACCCGATGGGCTTTATTGTTTACTGGCTTTGAAACCCTGGGCCAGCACGTGCCCGTTCTGAGCCTCAGTTTCCTCACCTATATCTTGGATATAGTAAGACTTGCCTCATTGGATTGGTGTTCAGACCGGAGGGGACAGTGGGCATGGCAGACGCTTCCTAAACCACGACAGGGAGGGACGGTTGGGCATAAGAAGGAGAACCCAAGTGTGAAGAGGTCTTCACACTCTGAAGCTTTGTCTTGCTTGACTGCTTCTAAAGAGCTGCTCCGAGGTCAGGTACAGGGAAGATGAGGGTGGGGAGGGGGTTGAGGGAAGGGGTGGGCAGGCCCCTGTGATGGCAGCCACTGGAGCTGTGCTTTCCAACGGGCCTGGGGCTGAGGTTGAATGCAACTTTATCTTAAGGCCACAGGCTAACCAGAATCAATCACTCATGCAGGCCCTTGAGATTCCAGGACCCTCTTTGTCTCCACCTATATTGTTTCCTATGACATTTCAACAGGGGGTCTACTCCAAAAGACCCCACAGTACTTCCGTTCCAGCAGGTGATGGATGGTGAGGACCTGGAGAAACAGTAGTGCATGAGTCTGCGGAACCACGAGGGTTAACTGGCCTGGGCCGGTTAAGGGCCTTCTGGAAGAATGTGTGGCAGAGGCTCTTCTGGGCCCTGAGGGGGCAGCAGAGGGACGTCTAGGTGAGGAGCTGCGGCTGGAGATCAGTACTGTGCTAAAGAGAAGAAGCCGGGTTTTAGGACCCGAGGCCAAGGTCAGGAACAAGCTTGGTCTAGAACAGGGACGATCAGAACTGAATTGAGGCCCCCAGGCAAATCAGCTTTGGAAGCTGCAGGCCTGTGGCGTCTGGCTTGGTTTTCAAGCGTCTGGCCTCCCTTCTGCCAGCCAGAGGGTGGCGTGTGGGCCTTTCAGGGCCGTTGATGTCTCATGGCAAAGAGAAGCCCCCTCGGCAAACTTAGGGACCTGAAGTGGGCCATGAGGGTGGTAAATAAATTAGGCTGACCTGGCCCTGATACCGTGTCTGCCACTCCACCCTGTGCCCAGCGCAGTCCCCGGCTGAGGGGGTTTCTGATCCCCCACTCCGTCTTACAGGTTTTAAGCAAAGAAAACAACCTGCAGGGTTGCCAAGAATAGTGCTGGGTTGTCCTCACCGAGACCACAACCCCTATTTCTATGCTTCCTTCTCTTCTAGCCATCTCTCACTCGAAGGGAAGGTTTGAGTATTTGTTTAATTAACCTTGAATCTTAAATGCCTCCAAAGATCCTTGGTCTGATTGTGGAGAAAAGAAAATACAAAACTGAACTGCGTTTCCTCTTCGGACATGGCTGGCTTCAGAGGAATCTGAATTCACACCCCCTTCGTGTCTGTCTCCGAGTTCTGTGTGGCTGCCTCTGACTCTCGAGCATGGATTGCCAAACTATGGAGGTTCCTGAAAGAGCTTTGGCAGCAAGACGTGCGAGCTGGTAGCCCCGGGCCTGGAGGCACCAACCACAGGGCCTGGGAGGCCTGACTCTGCCCGCACTTCTTCCATCTGCTCACATCCAGCTGCATTTGAGGAAACCCAGGGAGGCTGGGCTGCCCGTCCCAAAGCGGCTGCCTGTCTCCTGTGCCTGGTGACCTCTGCAATTCAAACCCCACGTCTGCAGAGATGCCTCCACGTCCCCAAGCTGTGGCCTGCCCTTCCTCCCTCCCTCGACGTGGGTACCAGTATCCAGAGCTCCCAGCTTCTCAAGCACCAGCAACTGAGACACAGGTGTGTGATGGCAGCCAGCCGAGCCCGAGCTCATGCAGTCCTGGGGGCCTGTCCTGGGGGTCAGTCCCGGGGAAGGGCAGGCTTGCAGCGCCTTACCTGCGGCTCCGGAGTTGCCATTCAACCCCAGAACTGAGGAGTTATTCTCCAGTCTCTCTGGGTGGAACATGTCTGTCTTGGCCCCATAAGCCCTGCCGCCACCGCCGGCTGCAATGATCAGGGGCACTGGCACGCCATCCTTCATCTGCCGGGGAGACGATCAGAGATTGAGAAAGCGAGCAGGGCTCCCACTCTGGGGACCCCCGCGCCATTGCAGTGTTTAAAGTGTCAGAGTGTTGGCTGGGCCGTGGGTGACATCCCGGTGGTCTGGGGGCTCTGACCTCATGTTCCAGCCACCCATCTGCCCTCACCAACCCCCCCCCAGCTCCCATATCCGTCGGGGTTCAGTCAGAGAAGCAAAAGCACCAGGAGATCTAAATATATGAATACCAGGAGGCGGGGATGGATCTTTTCCTGAAGCTGCTCACACTAGCCTCGGAGGACTGGGTGCTGGTGCTTAGAAGCACGTCTCTCTCTTGCCCCTTTCCTCCCCACTCTCCGGGGTCTCTGGCTCTAACCTCCACAACTTCAAGATTAAGCCCTCAGCACCACTGTCCTGGTGGGAGGACCTAGCAGATGCCTTTGACTGCTTTTGATCATGTCAGAAAAGCCCACCATGGGGCAGGGGAGGGCACCGTGGGACCCTCTGGAACTCTGAGGCAGGGACGACAAGGCCTGCATGGGGCCATCGGGCTGGCATGTCAGCAAGAGAAGAACCTGCCTTTTCTGGGACAGACAGGGACCCCTACATCCATCTGCGCCTCGCTTTGCTCCTCTTTAGATGGGGCTAAGGACATCTGAGGTGCTCCATTCCCAGGGCGGTCGTGAGGACCTGGCATGACGGATCCGTGACTCGTGGAAGTCACCGCCCATGGCGAGCTCTGGCAGCTGGCCTTACCTTGAACACGTAGGTGGCTCCACCTCCTCCTCCACCCCCTCCTGCCCACTCATGCACGCTTCTGTTCACGCGGATTTCTTCTTCTATCACATTGTTCTCTCCAATGCAGACTTTCTGGATTAATCGGTTTGTCTGGAGAAACAAAAAGCACCTCAGGTTGGTGCCCAAGGTTCTCTACTTCCCAGCAGACAGACCTTCTGTGCTTCATGATAGGCTCTGACGACCTCTCAAATAGCTGACAGTTGAGTTGAAGAGATAGAGATAGATATATGACATATGTCTGTAGATAAATCAATATCTATATTTATACACACACACACTCACACATAACTGTCACTAGAGCGTATTAGAGAAAGACCTAGGATAGCTTAGATAGAAAACGCCAGGAAGTTGGGGCACAACAAGCAACTTTGTGGCTGACTGGTGGTCAAGGAGGACTGCTTGTAGGAGGTGGTATTTAGTGGGACCTTGAAGCACAGGGAGATTTTAAAACAGAAAATGGGGGAAAGTCAGAGCAACCCAGAGGAAGAGAGTAGCATGAGCCCAGAGAGAAGCAGGTGAGGGGGAGATTTGGGGATTTGGGGAAAAGTACAAGGAGTCTCTTTGGTTCAGAAAAGTCCACTTTAGGACAGAGACACAGTCCAGGAGGACCTGTTAGGATCCTCTGGACTCTGAAGAAGGGATGACAAAAGCCCTGGTTTGCGAGGTAGGGCTGGAGGGGGTGAGGGAATTCAACTGGACAGTCAGATAAAGGCCAGAAGACTTGACTACAATCAGACTGCATTCTCTAGGCGGTGGTGAGCCACTGAAGGTTTTTTGAGAAGCTGCAGTTTTGAAGTATCATGGGAAGAGAACACAGCAATGCGAGCCAGGCTCAGATTTATCCCCAGCCCATCTATGTGAAAATCATTTCTCCATTTTGGACATCTCTTCCCTCCCATCTAAGGTCTCACTTCTTGCCTCCAGAAATCCCCCAACATGGCCTGAAACAGAGCTCTCTGTGTCCATCATGGAGAACAGGGTGTGACCCCAGGAATCTGCAGACACCCCTGGGTGCCTGAGAAGGTGCTCAACCTCTCTGACCTCCAGGTGTGGAATGGGCAGGCCGTATGTACTTAGGAGAGGTGTCTAGGATGGTGTCTCCTGTGTTAGGGACTGAATAAACAGCTGCTATTCTTTCACATGGTCCCGGTGTGCGCCCAGGCATCTGGGAGTCCCTGGGGATGTGCAGGAAATCCCTGTGACCCAGAATCCGGGAATCCCTGAATAAAGGGGGCAGGGCTTCAGGAAGAACCGGCCTGCTTGTTGGGCACAGCAGCTAAGAAGAACGCTCCAAACATCCACCCGAATTCGGAGGAAAATGGCTTTTCTTTCACTTATTAGAAGAAAAGGCCAATAAAACATCACATTTCCATTGACTGCTGCTGTGTAACCAGCCAGTGGACATGCCAATTCATCTTGAGCCACTCCTTATGCAAAAGCACTCAGGGGTGCAGGCAATGAGTACTAGAGAAATTTCCAGATAAATAGCCAAGATGCAATTTGTTTTAAGGCATTTTGGATTTAATGATGGAAATAATTTGATATTTCTTAGAGTGGTTTTAGTGTGGGTGGGAAGGTTCTGAATTGCTATTGTAGAGGGCTGACATTTCTCCTGTGGGTGTGTGCAGTGCTGTCCGGGTGGGGGGTGCGGGGGGGGCAGTGCTGGGAGGAAACCCTGCTAACTGCTGTGGGGTGGGCATGAGAAGCCGGGGGCATGCCCAGAGGGCTGAGCCCGGGGGCAGGGGACACAAATGTGAGCTGTCCACTAGGCAGAGCGGAGCACAAAATACAGGGTCCAATCTGGCTTCTTGACTGGCTGTGCTGGAGATTTGCCGAGCCATGTTGGGTGAGGCACCTCACTTCCCCGGACCTGCCTCCTCCTGTGTAAATCGAGGGGCTGTCCAGTCTGAACCAGTGGTACGAAGAAGGTCCATCCCCTTAGACCCTGCTCTCCTCCTCCTCTCTGCCCAGCGGCAGTGGGGTCTCCACCCTTTGGGGATGCCCTCTTCCTGTGAACAGAATCTGCTGATGGCTGGGATTGCAGGAGTGGGAAGGAGGGAGCAGTCGGGCTGGGGAATGGCCTTTCCTCCAACGAGAGCCCAGACTCACGCCCATCCCCCCGCTGCCCATCTCCATTGGCTCCCAGAAGTCTCCACGGGGCTGTCTGCCAGACCTCTCCTAACCGTGCCCCCAAACCTGCTCCTTCCACACCATTCCCAGCTCAGGTGACGGCAGCTCCCTCGTTCCCATGGTTCAAGTGCAATTCTTGGAGTCATCCTTGATCCTTTCTTTGTCTCAGTTCTTCATCTAGTTGGGCAGGAAATTCTTCTTGATTTTGCATTCCAAATATGCCCAGAATTCAGCCACTGTTGCCATCTTCATCCAAGCCACCATGATCTCTGGCCCAGACTAATGCAGTAACCACTGAATTCGTTGTGCTGACTCTTCCCTTGGTCCCAAGCAGGCTATGACGGCCAGAGTGAGTCTTACAATATGCAAATCACAGCAGGCTCCCTATCCCACCTTATTCCCACCTTTAGGCTCAAAACCCTCCTATGGCTTAAAAATGTCCTGATGGTGGCCTGATCACTTCATCTCTCACCAACTCTCCCTCTTGCTCCCCGCACTCACCCCAGCCGATTGAGAGTACACCAGGCACTCTCCCACCTCAACGCCTTGGCTTCTGCTTGGCTAGCACCCCCAGATATGTTCCTGGTTCAATCCCTTTCAGGACTCTGCTCGGCTGTCATTTGTTCAATAGGCTTCCGTCGACCGCCCCATCTATAATTGCAACCTGCCCTACACACCTGACTCTTGTTACCCTACTTCTGTTCACTGGAACACTTTCACTTCTGGGTGTTTTGATTGACTAATATTACTAGTCCTTGTTCATCCCTCTTCCCCCGGTGGGAATGTCAGCTCCTTCAGAGCAAAGATCTTTCTTTTGTTCATGGATCTATCTCAAGTTGCTAGAACAGCGACTGGCACATAGAAGGATACTTGATAGATATTTGCTGAATACATTTGAATAAATTGGGGACTGTCTGAGTGTGCGCTGACCCTCACAATATTTGCCTTTCGAGTGATGGTAGTTGTGAAACGTAACACTTAGACCAGTGGTTTTGCTCCCCTGGGGACATCTGGCAAGATCTGGACACATTTTTGATCGTTAATACTGGGGGATGCTACTGGCATTGGGGGGATAGAAGCCAGGGACGCTGCTAGAGAGCCTACAGTGCCCACAACAGTCACCCACAACAAAGACTCATCTGCTCCAAAATGTCAATGGTGCTGATGTCAAGAAACCCATGCCACCAGGTCTGGTGGTCATGCCACCATATGAGGCTTGGGAGAAATTGAAGAAGCTATAATTGAGGGGGTTTCCAGCTGCTGGAGCCCATCCCAGGCTCAGGTGAGGCCAGGCACAAAAGAAGAGCAGCTCCACACAGATGTGCTGTTGAACCGGGAGAGCTGCCAAATCCTGCAGTTTAATTCTTAGAGTGCACTCCCTTCTTTAGAGGATCCTCTTTAGGCACCGTTTTTCTGCCTGGAGAGGACTGGAGATTGAGGGAGTACCATAAAAGATCTTTCTTTCTCTCTCTCCCAGTGACTCCTGCAGGAGGAGGCGTGGAGCCACAGGGAAGACCCATGACTTACCCCCCGCCCCCCCGCCCCGTCCCTGCTATGCCCGGCCCCACCAGTAGGGGGCTGGAAGAGAATGGGCTTCTTTAGAACTCTCCCTGTGCATTCACAAAGTTCAAGAGCAAGTAGGTTGATTAATAAAATGATAAAGGGCAGCAGCCCCGAGGAACAAGTAGATTACAATTGAATTAAAAAAAAAAGGACTTGGTCCTGTGAAAAGACATAACTGATTACAATCCAATCAAGTAAAAGTCCCTTGCAGAAGTCAATGCAATCTTTCTGCTTAGATGAAAGGATTACATTAGCACTCGATACATTCCTGTGGAAATTACAGCAGCCTGTAACTTAATGACTTAATATATTATACCAGCCTCGAAAGTCCTGATTATAGTTGCTAAATAAAAGTTGGAGTCCAGACATTTCTCACGTGCAAGGTTGCACCTGCTGAGCTTACTCCTGTTGCTCTGTTTTAACCCTGTCGGGGGTGGGGGGTGGGGGTGGGTGCTGTGCTTTCCTCCTTGCTCCCAGCCTGGGGCCCAGCTTTTAAGAGTCCTGAATTTATTTTGTGGCATTGTACTGCTTTCTGGGTAGTCCTGGTTCCCACATCTGTTCCCCAAGGCTACTCTTGAATGAGCTCTTACAGAAGGGGCGCTGGGTCCTGGGCGCTAGAACCCAGCTCCCTGCCTTGGCCCCACCCTGGGTGGGAGTTGGCCTTCAGAGGAGGGTGGGGCCTGGCCTTCCGGTGCTGAGTTCTGCCAGGAGAGCCCGCCCCGCCAGGGACCTGTCTCCCCCAACACAGACAAGAGGCAAACAACTGGGATGCCTGGAGCCTCCACAGCTGCTGCTTTGTTAGTCTTCAAAGTCTGATTCTCCTGGTAATTTTAGACCACCACCGGCTTTCTCAAGTCCTGCTATTGGAGCGCTCCCTGTTTAACAGGTGGATACCCCAACGGGGTCAGAACCCAGAAGGACAGGCTGTCTCTGCGGCTGCGGAGGATAGCAGTCTGGCTTGTCCGATGATGGGCTCTCAGTGGGAAAAGGGCATAGAAACCGAGGCCTAAGCAAGTGCCCAGCACAGCACAAGCAGGAGCCAGAGTCCCTACTCCATGCTGCATTGTGAGCGGCTTTGGAAAAGTCCCTTCTCTTCTGTACTCTTGATTTTCTCATCTGTAATATGTCCTGTTTATAATAATAGGACTAAAGACAATGGTGCCCCAGCAAGAAAGTTTAGGAGATGGGCTTTAGCTTGTAGTCTGCTGAAAAGAACCACCATTTACCCATTCAAGTAGGATCCAGTTCTTTAGTTTTAAGGGTTACTCTTGAAACCCATCCCTCAGCCTTGGTCCCTGTGGGGATGTGAATCCCCAACAGCCATACCACCCCCTTTCTCATACACCCTAATGGGCCCGGAAAGGGAGAGGAATTTGTAGGCAGGACGAGGGGTGAGTCCTGCCATCTTCAAATATGAGCTCCCAGAAGGAGGGTATCCAGCGTTGATGCCCTCCGAAGGGCCACTGGGTCCTGGTAAGTGTGAAGCAGAGGTCCCTGCTCTGGGCACTTACGCTGGGGCAGGCGTCTTCCCCCTGTTGTCCAACCAGGATATACAGTGTGTCGCCCTTCTCCAGGTTGAAGATGCCCAGCACAGACACGCCGTGGGACCGCATCATGGTGTTCTTCCCGCCTTTCCCACCGGCAGCTCCGTAGCCTGAGATGCTGCAACAGAACAGAGCACATGAAGACTGATTCCCTTCCTGCCGACCCAGCAGCTCCTAGTGGGTTCTGTGCACCGTTGTGGTCCTGATGGTTCTCCCCCTCCACCTTACATCAGCCCATGAGGTCAGCAAGGAGACTTCCTCTCCCCATGGTCAGGAGTCCGGTTTACAGAGGGATAGGGAAATGCCTCATTCCCAGGGTCAGGGAGTAAAGAACTAGTACGGGGTGCAAGAGAGAAAGAGAGGGAGAGGAGAGGGAAGACGGCGAGAGTCTGTTTTAATGGGGGGGCGTTGGGGTGATGCTTTCCTGAATACCTGCAATGTCCCATTACGGTTTCTCTCCCCGTCTGAGATCAAAGGACTCATGTGACCTTAGACAAATGACTTTGTCTAACTTTCCTGTTCCACATCTGTAAAATGGGGATAGTAAGCGCACCTACATTCTAGCATGTGTGTGTGTGAGATTAAAGGAATTAAGACATGGAGCCATAGAATTGTGGCTGACACATAATAAGTTATTCCATAGTATTATACAATATATATTATTACAGTTTATACTGGTGGAAGTCACAGTAATTGACTGGGTATGCAGTTTTCAAGTTTCCTCCCCGGGTCTAGACACAAGGAAGTCGCACATGGAATGACCAAGGTGAGCAGTGTTTCTGAGCGCAGACTAGTAGTAACTAGTAGTCCATCCCACTAGTAACTCTCTCTAGAGCCATGTGCATACAGAAAACAACCAGTCATGATGAATAAAAACAGAGTGGGGGGAGTGCAGGATTATTTCTGTGCCTCTTAGGTTGTTGAGATGGAGTCGCCCAAGGATGGGAGGAGAAGAACTCAACTGGTGAACCTTATCAGAAAAGCAGTATGTCTTGAAGACAGCTACACACCAGCTACAAATGCCTCCCCAGAGACCATCTGCCAGGGAAAGGTCTGGGGAGGTGTTCATGTCTCTGTGTATTCAGATGCAAGGTCCTTTATAGAAAGCATTCAGGGAGATATGTGAGGCGGTTTTGTACATGTGCACACGTGGTGTCTTCTCCCCTGTAATTCTAGGAAATGTACCATGTTCCAAGCATGCGAGGGGCCTCCTGGGGGCTCTCCTAAGGCAGAGCTGAGCCTGTCTGTGCAGGGAGAACCCTGGAGGGCTGGCAGATTGCTAATGTGGCAGGTGAAGAACAGAGGTCTCTGTGCAATGCCATGGAGAGTCTGATGTCTGTCACCCTGTCGGTGGCCAGACACTGAGTGGAGCTCACTGAAGGCTGACACGGCTCAAGGCTGTGCGCATAAGGGGAGACTGGAGAAGGGCTTCCAAAGAAACTGGAGAGACAGTTATGTTATGAAAAGAGAAGTCTCACCTTAAGGATGGCTCTATTAGGGAGGCAAAGAGACTCCGGGGTTCTATGACCAGAGCGGACCATTTCCTAGCTGTGTGTCCTCTTGGAGTCCCAGCCTCTTCTGTAGTCAAAGAAAAACCGTATCTTCTTCTCTGAACTCACAGGGTAGCAGAGAGGTTCAGCGTCAAAAAGAGATCATGGGCGAAAGCCCTGAGAAAGTGACAGATCTCTGCGCAGTCAGGGCAGTTAGGTATCCAGGGCTTGGGAAGGGAGACGGGACTGTGACAGGCATGGGAGCAGTGTCACGCCACTGCTGGACATGCGGGGTGTGGCAGAGCCGAAGGATGGGTAGGACTCTCACACACGCAGAAAGAGATGGAGGATAGGAGTCGGGCTTGCGTGAGCAGAAGTGAAGAGGCAGGAAAGCCTCCAGGGTGTGGCTGCAGAAGGTGGCTGGAGCAGGGAAGTGATGTAGCTCTGCCCAGCGGGGTAGGGGCTAGTTCCTGAGCATCCTACAAGGGGGCAGGCATGAATGCATAGGACATCTCCCCAGTAGCCATAAATAGTAGCTGTTAGTAATTCACTTGACATATGAGGACACTGAGGCTCAGAGGGACTAAGTAACTCATCTGAGGCTACACAGCTGGTCACTGGCAGACCCTGGTCCAAGCCCCCCTCCCCTCAAAAAGACCATTTTCTCTCCAATATGCTGTTGCGAGGCTTATCTGGATACACGGCGAGGGTGGTCGGACACGCTACTGGCCCATCCTCGCTCCTGACTCATTAGAAATGGAGAAGGTGGCTAGGACTATTAAAAGACAGAGGGAAAAGGAAGGCGTATTGGTGACAGGAAAGCAGCTGGATTATTTAGCTCAGAGAAGGGAAGCCTGGGGCAGGTCAGGGGCGGGTGGTGGTGGGGTTCCAGGGATGGCCTGTGTAGAATCTAGAGAGAGGGTGTGGTTCCCCCCCACCCCCGCCTTGGTTCTGCTCATTACTCCGTATTTCCCGGGGTTTGTCAGGAGAAAATCCTTTCAACCTGAAGGTATGGTTTGCTTGGAAAACTGCTGCCCCAGACAGAGAGCTTGTCTTGCCCACTCGCGCCATGGCTGGGAGGTAAGCTATACCCTGCTCAGCCCTTTCTGCATCATTTGCATAGTCATTTGCATACATCTGCATGCATTATGAATCACTCTGAACTCTTGCACATGATTAAATTTAGCCAAATTATTATATTTTAGAAGTTGTTTGTTTCTGACTCCTTTTTCCTCCCTAGCCCTTCTTTCCTATTTCTCCTGCCACCCCCACCCCCAAATAGGAACCCCAGCCCCCAACCCCATCTAGGTATAGACCTAGCTCTTGGCAGTGAGGTGGGATGCAAAGGGGACTGAGTTCTAAGTCATATACCTGGTGCTCTGCTGGCTGTGTGACTTGGGGCAAGCTGGTCAACCTCCAGGAGCTTCAGCTTCCCCAGCGAGGGAAAAAATGAGGACAAGGACCCCTGCCCTCATGAGGAGAAGTAATGGATTTGAAAAGACTGCACACGGATGCCAAGTGCAAGGTGGGACTCGAGGCTGGGTCAGCTCTACAGAGTAGATAGTAGAGCTTGGCCACCAGCTATCAGCAGCCACATTTTACTTTCCTGTGTGGGTCTCTGCCCCACGTTTCCGACCTGGACTAGGGGCTGGCTTAAAGCCAGGGGAGCATGCAACCGCTCGCCTGGACTAATTGTAGGAGAAGCAGGGCCTTCCTCGTCAGCCCTCTGAGGCCTGACATCCCACCATACAGCCGCATTCCTTTGGAAGCTTCTAGTCTCCCATCCAGGTCACTACTTACAATGCTGATCTCTGGAGTGGGCTGTGCCACAGTGAGAAAAGCATGGATGGGCTTGAATGCAGACAGAATTGGATCCAAATCCAAGCCGTTATGCAAGCCCCGGGGTGGATGAGGCACCTCCCTCCCAGGTGCTGACCCCGCACCCCGCTGACCCTGAGAGCAGGTGCCTTCCTAAATTTTGTGCCTGAGGCACCTTGCTTACCTCTCCCGGTCCTGGCCCCGCCATGGTTACTTACTAGCTGTGTGACCTTTGGGCTTGAGCTCCAGTTAGTTTCCCTGGCCACAAAAAAGGAGAAGATACTATCTACCATGAAAAACTGTTGTGATAATTAAATGAGATCATACCTATAAGGGACCTAATTCAGCCCCTGGAGGGTAGTCAGTGAGCAATAGAGTAGCTACTGTTCGGATGCATCCTGGTGGGTAAGCCTGTCCATTCCTCTTCCAGGGTGACTTCTGGGAGGGGGAGCGAGTGAGGGAACGAGGCCCCGATCTCTAGAGAACAGGGCAGTAGGTGGAGCGGGGTGTGGCCTGTTGGGTTTCACCCAGGACCCACCTCTATAGGGAGCCAGTGGGGGCACAGGCAACCTTGGCATGTCTGAAGACCCCCCCCCAAGTCCTATGAATCATGTCACACAAACTCGTGCCAGAATAATAACCTCAGCCTGACTCTCCGAAGCATCTCCCCCATCCCTTGTAAACAATTATTTTTGATGGTTGACAAATGATAACAAATTAATATACCTGCCACTCAAGTGGGGAAAATGACTTGCAGTGCTTCCAATTTACTGGAAATTACAAGATACTGTTCTTGATGAGCTGATGCTATAATTTTTTGTTGTTGTTTGTTTGTTTGTTTTTCCTCATCTCAATCCATGCCCCCTGGTCAGAATGGATGTTTATTGGGTTTACGTTTTATATTATTGACTCTGAGCCATTTTTACCTGATGTAATTGAGTTGTGAATCTTTTTAAAATAAAGAATTAGCAGCAAATCAAAGTGGCTGCCTGCCAGATCCTGAGATGTGAGTGCGCTAGTGTGGGGCACAGTGGCCCGTCAGTGTCACACCTCCACGGGGACACCGGAGGGGAGCCGACGGGAATGAGCCAACCCCACTCGGAGATACGCGAAGCACCTCATTCCTCTCCTGTACCTGACTCTGGGCTCTGCCTCTGCTTCCCAGTGGGACCTTGGGTGAGCCCCTCCTCTCCTTTGTGTCTTGGTTTTCTCCTCTGCGAAATCAGGGTGTAAGATCTGCCGTGCCCATCCTAGCGCTCAGGGTTATTGTGAGGGCACAGGAGACGTGGGAGGGTGTAAGGGCTCGGTCCATGGGAAATTTGTGTTTAGATGTATAGTGGCATTATCCAGCTGGGTCATTTGAGCCATCAGGAGACCCCGCTGGGGGTTGGCTGTTAAGGGCGAGTGGAGGAGGCATGTGCTTCTCGCAGCCCCGGTTCTGTTCTGGATTGCTCCGGCGAGCAAGGCTCATGGTTCTCTTCGTCCTCCAACCTTCCTGACCAGCGCAGCCCTATGCACCTGGAAATATCAGCTCTGGAAGGGATCTCAGCAACTTCTCTCTACAACCCCTCCCTCTAGGGCCACTGGGGAGAAGGGAAAGCACACTTTCAAGGTCACATGATGTCACTGGCAGAATTTGGACCCAAACACCATTCTGCCTGCAGCCCGTCAATCTTTGTGCAGTCTCCCTGCCTCTGACTTTCCCTGCTCTGTGCTCCTCGTGGCGATGGTTATTGCACAATCACTCTGGCAGTTGATCATGCCCGTGACTCCTTTCTGCAATTGTCTAGAACTTTATTGGCATCGTGGACTGTTAATTTAACTTTTCTGCTCTGCAGAGAAAAGATGGTGAGAGGCTTTGCAAAGATGGTGAGAGGCTCCAGAGTCTCAGTCCTCTCTGCAAGTCCTGCAACGCCTAGTGAGTGATCAGCCCGCAGCAGGAGCTGCACGGCTGTGGGTGGATTGGGTTAATGACGGTGTCATCCAGCTGCACACACCGGTCCCTGCAGCCAGGTGAGGAAATGAGTGTCAGTGATGGAGACCATCAGGAACCGCTGTGGCCCAGGTCAGCTGGCAGGATTTGCTGGCTCCAGCTGGGATCTGGGGCCTCATGTACATTACGTCTGAGGAACAAGTGAACCATCAGAGAACGGCCATCAGGAGCTGTGGGCTGTGCTTGACAAATGTTTTTATAAATGATCTGTGTGTGTGGTGGTGGGGTGGGGGAGGACCGAGGGCGAGGAGGGATGCTGAGCCCTAGAGAAGCAGGAAGGCAGGCAGTGGGGAGGGAGGGAGGGAGAGTGAGCGGGACCGCCCGCCGTCTGCCAAGCGGGCACTGAGTCACACGATGTCCCCAGCAGTCTGCCTCTGCTCCACGGTGAGGCGGAGCCCCCCACTCGCCCCAGCATCCATGCCCTTTTGGTGCCCCACTTCGGCCACCACCCCCATGGCACACTCTAGACATCGTCACTCCGATCAGTGCTCCACTGGCGTCACTCTGGCTGTTGCCCTAATCCTTGCCTGTCCTTCTCAGTCAAGCTCCTTGAGACGGTAGCTGTCACTCCCCGTCCTGCCTCCTCAGCCCCAAGCCCCGGCTGTCACCTGGGTTCTGCCTCCACCCCCAGTCCTGCAATCATGCGGATCCCACCTCCCAAACACACCTTGGCCCCACCGGGCCCCTCCGTGGGCGTCTCCCTGCCCCTGGCTCCAGCCGCCTTTCCACCGCTGTCCCCGCCTCCAGGCTCGCTTCTCCCCAAGCCGGCGCCAGGGGGAGCTAACAGCATTCGGGATGTGAGGCTCCAGCTCCAGGGGCTCCTTCCTCCCCTCTTCTTTGTGGACAACTCTATCACCTTCAGGACTGAACTCAAGCTCTGTCTCCCTGTGGAAGCCATTCACGAACTCAGGCCCTTCCCTGGCCTCTGGCAGCAGTGCCTGATGCAAACCTCCCCCGAAGTACTTTCTACATCGCTCATAAATGCTTTCTATGTCCAACACCCCCATTGGCTGGGGCTCCTCCTAGGCAGAGCGTGGACCCTGTGCACCTTCACAGACCTAGTGTCAGGCACAGTGACCTAATATGTGCTGAATGCCCTCCACAGAGATTTGGGAAGCAGGAGCGGAGCAGGTCTGGACACCGGGACATATGTACTTGGAGGGAGTGAGAGCATCACTGTTTTGACAGAGGAAGTGGCAAATCTAGGGGAAGGAGAAGCCCAGGGCAGGAAAGCAGGGGGTTGCGGTGCGGGGGCGCTGATGGGGATTTAGATGTTGTCTCTGAATCTCCCTCCCTCTCAAGCCTGCTGTTTCCTGCCCCCCAGCCTCTTCTTCCTCTCCCTTTCTGGGTTTCTTCCTTCGTGGTGGTGGGCAAAGGAGTAGAGAGTAGGAGATGGGGCCCAGGATAACTCACAAGATAAGGGCACACTTTTATCTGTGTGCGTCCCCGAGGAAGGCCCAGGCAAGGATGGCCCCACCTTCGCATACAGTAGGCTCTCTTTCCTTCACCTTCTCAGTAGTAAAGAAGCCAGCGGGGACAATAACGGTTCCAGGCCTCAGGTCGCAGCCAGACAGCACTAGTGAGCACTCACACTCTTCCAGGAACAGGGGGAGAGCATAAGAAATGCTCCCACCCTTTCTCTCCTTTTCCTCACCTCTTGAGAAAACGTGATGTGTCCCATGTCTTTCTCACTAGATGAGCTGCACTTACTAAACAAGAATTAGTTAATATGGAGAAAATGTCTTCCAGAAAGAGGGCACCTGACTTGTCAACATGGATAGTTTGACTTGGGGACGTTTTGATGTGGTCTAAAAAGCAAATCATTAAATGGTCTGTTTCTTTGATACTAAATTATATGATCAATATGCATTACTGTCCAAGCCCTGAGCCTCCTCCAGGGTCAAGGTCAGAAATATCCGTTACAGCCCTTAAAGGGTTAAAAAACCCCAAGGTTTCAAAAGCAACAACAAAAACCCAATGTTTTTCAGTTTTAACTCCTCCCTTTTTGATACAGTGCTATCTCAGGCCAGTTTTAAAAAGTCCTACGGATCAAAATCTTCCCCTTTGCCAATCTGGACATGTTGAAGTGTCCTGCTTCAATAGCAAGACGGCTCCTTGTCCATGTTTCCAGTGAGTGTTCACCAGGCAATTCTGGGGGCTCGTCGCAATATTCCAGAGAGAAAGAGAACAGGTTCCCCGATCTGGGTTGGGGTTCTATCAGGGAAGTGTGGTAATATGTGGCGATTCATGCAGATCAGAAACCTGGCTAGACTTAGACGTGGCTGTGATTAATTAGTATTTTTTAAGTACAGTTTGTCTGCCAGGCGAAATCTTTTGAAGCATGGGGCCCACATCGTAAGAAGTCGGTAAGAAGTCCTTGGAAATGGCGAAGTCAGGAAGTACCCTCTGTGGGATCAGTCTGTTCCTGGAAATGCTTCTGGCCACTGCCTCCTGCCTGACGCTCTCACGGCTCCCGCTGATTTCTCTGCCCACGGGCCAGGGAACAGCCAGTGCGCACAGGCCATGTGCGAGGCACTTGTACGTCACCTTCGCAAGCCATTGGGCAGATGTTAGCATCTCCCAACCTCTGCCTTTTACAGATGGGGAAACAGAGCCTCAAGGGATTAAATGACCTGCCCGAGTTTGGAAGTGGGTCTGATTCACACTGTCTCAGGGGGAATGCAGCCCAAGAGTAATCCCATACGTGGTGCCTCCTATTTGTGGATCTTTGTGGGAAGGGCAGTAAGGGACTTTCAGTCTGGCTTGGGAGTTGCCCTGGATGGGGATGGGACAGTGGGTCTTGTTGGGCGTTTACTGTTGAGGTCTCTCTGCCCCCCAGCTCCTCTGCCCTCTTCTTCACATTGCTTCTTATACATGGGGATCTGCACGCAGGGCTGGGCTGGCCAGTATCCCTGCAGGTGGTGGGGCCTCCCCTCCCAGGCTTTCATTTCCAGAGGCTTCCTGGAGGTGGGTGGTGGATGACTGCTAGGGCTCCTTCCCTTTCTTGTTCCTCTTGCCCCCTGCATGCCTCTCAGAGTCCAGATGTGGGCATTAGTGGAAAGAACACACAGACTTTGAGCCAGAGGGCCCTGGGTTTACTGGTTATGTGGCCTTCGATCTGTTGCTAAGCTGCTGACTCCAGTTTCCCCCTATGGAAACAAGGGAATTTCAATAATCATAGTAATGACATCTGCCTCACTGCTAAAAGGGGGAGAAATACTTGATGAGACCTCAGCAAACATTCATCTCCGTCTCTCTGGGATGGTGGCTGACCCAGGGAACCTCAGCCAGGCAGGGAGCGGAGACCTGGCTTGCTCAGTGTGGCAGGTGCAGGGTTGGCTGGGTGTCTTTGACAATTTACTGGGGATGTGTGGGACCTAGAGCAGCTAATCTGATTGCAGCCAAACCTTGTTACTGCATTCCTGCCCAGAATGTCATTTAAAGAGCACTTAGGGCTCTCCCCGAAATGCATTTACACTGAGGTCCCAGGGGTGGGGCTGCACAGAAAACTGGGCAACTTGAGACCCTCCTTTCCTTCCCAGGGTGGCTGAGGATGTGCTGGGGGTTGGGGGCTGAGGAAGGGGAAAGAGAGCTCACATCCCACTCTGTTCAGCCTCTGGGGCCATTTGCACCACAACGTCATGATTATGCTGCTTCCTGTTTCAGCCTGCCGTTTGCTGTGGAAGGAGCCTCAGACTCAGAAGTCTGGGGTTGGAGGTGATATCCGGCCTGTCTGTGGGGAGGCTCCTGGCTCTCTGACCCTCAGTTTCCTCATGTGTCAAATGAAGACTGCAGCACTGGCCTTGTCCACAGAGCTGTGGGAGGACTACATGCAAGGGTTCAACCTAATTTAGTTATTCTCGGGGGCTGTATTAGCATCACCTGGGAACCTGTTGGAAATTCATTCTCAGTGAATGAATGAATGAATACAACCAGCACGATGAATACCACTCATGTCTCCCTTCCCAACCTGGATCCAATAAATGTCAGTATTTTGTCATATTTGCTTCATTCATATAAAAATGTTTAGCCTAAAATTTTTCTTAATATTCATATTCTTGGACCCCTCTCCAGACCTACAAAATCAGATGCTCTGTGAGGGGGGCCAGTAATCTGCATTAACCAGCCGTCCAGTCTTTCGATGGTTGAGAACCACTGGTCTTGAGCCTTGCTGTCAGGTTCACTTATTAGCTAAGTGGCCCGTTGGGGTCAGGCCTCCCTCCAACCTGGCCTTGCTTTGGTGGAATACTGTGTAGCCGGCGTTGGGTGTGGGACAAGAGTTTGAGAACAGCTGCTTTACTTGTGAACAGTGAAGGCCCAGGGAAGAAGGCTCAAGGGTAAGGGCATCATCTTTCGTGTACATCGTACGTTTGTTTCCCCAACATTTTATGTGCGCTGATTTGTGTGAACAGCATGAAGTAATATTCAAAGAACTCACTATAATTATAATTATTCATAATAAAGAATATTCTGAAGCTAGCTCACACATGTATATCATCTCCACAAATAGTCTGGGCTCCTTGAGGACAAGGGACACATCTTTGTTGCCATATCCCATTATCCCAAATCTCCCCATCTCCAGCCCCTATACCAGAGTCTGTGGCCTCTGAGCCTAGGTGTGCCCAGGCACCCGGAGGGCATGCACCCGCAGGCAGCACCCCATCATTTTCAGAAAGGGAGATCCACCCCTTGGCCTCCGCCTCCCCCATACGCACCTGTAGGTGTCGGTGGCTGGCACCTTCCAGGTCTGGATGCCTTTCAGGGGGCCCTCGCTCCCCACCACCACGCTCAGGTTGGTATTCCGGTAGGCATTGTTACACTGCGCCTGTGTGGGGCCATGAGGCCCACTGGCCCCGCACGTGGTGAACAGCCAATGAACTGTGGCACAAGAGGAAAGACAATCACTCACTTGGCCTGGCCCTCCCTCCTCCATAGGCTTCCCCGGGCTGCCTCCGAGCTGTCAACTCCACGGCCCCAAACCCATGTTCCAAGATGGCACCAGGGCCAGGGCAAGAAACACCGATCAGCCATTCAAACTGGAAACGTCTGTTGAGGATCTACTCTGTGCCAGGTCAGATGTGAGGGGAGAGACACAGATGGAGCAGAGTGATCTGGCCTTAAGAAGCTTACAGGCTCCTAAAGGAGTCCAAAGGGGATACAACATCTACAACACAGGATGGTAAGGTAAGGAAAAAAAAACAAACTGTCCGAGGGTCTGGTGAACACGGCCCTATGAGAGTTACCAGGAAGGAGAGAAGACCCCTGTCAGGTACGACAAGCGTGGGCAGTGGCTGGACCCTCCCCTCGTTTCTCACCGAGTCTGGCACAGTGCTGGGCAAACAACAGGTGCTCAATCTATGCTACTGTGACTGCACTGAACCTGCTCCCAAAGGTTGGACATAGGCGTATAAGATCCTCTTAGCTTGGAGAAGCTTAAAAGAGTAAACCGGACATAGAGTCAGCTCCATGACCCTCCACCCCCGTTGGCCCAGGGACCCAGGATAGTGGTGGGAGCAGGAAACCTTGCACACCTGGCTAGTGGCTTTGTCTATCTGTCAGGACCTCAACAGGGCTCAGCCTCCTTATTTACAACCAACTCAGGTTCATCAACACAGTGAAGGTGGCTTTCAGGCTCTCTATGCAAGAGAAAGTAAAAAAAATGGGGAAACACATCACATTTGTCTCTGGTGCATGCTCTCCTTTTCTAAGTCCCTCACCCAGAGCACCCAATGTCCTCACGTGGCCTTCTGGGGGTGGCTCAGGATCATTTAGCACACCCCATCCCTTCACCGCCCCTGGGCCATTTCCTTCGAAACTTTCTATCTTTGAGCCAGGCTGGATCTTGAGGAATTGTCAGATTTCATGTTGGCCAGAATTCTAACATTTTTACAACCTATAACAACTTCTTAAAAATGTGTTCTTGATAAGTTACTTTTACTTAAAATATAAAAATCTCATGATAAGATTGAAAAATTATTTCCCTCTAATGTGATTAAGTCAAATTCTACCTATAGAAAATTTGTGGAAAAATTAATTTGGTATACATAGTTTTGCTCACTAAAACGTTAAAGTGAAAAATTTCTGAAGACTTTCAACTAATTTAATGATGTGAAAATGAAAGCTTAATTTGGGTTGCTAATTACAAGCAATCAGATTGAGATCACACTGGGTATTTTTGATAATCTGAAAACTTGGCCAGTGTGGTGGGCTTTTGTGATACTGCCCTGACCCCAAGGTCAGAGACCAAAGTCCTAGCTGAGATTCCAATGTATACAGCTACTCAACACTGTGTATTCAATGCTTTTCTCTGCTGGAGTCACCTTTTTGAAATGAAGATGTTGATTTCTACTTGGTTTCTGAAGGTCGTTTCAAGGGCAAGAAGGTGATGAATCCATTCATGTTTGGTGTGAATGGTTGATTGTTAATTTTATGATCTTTCTGTATTCTAAAGGAGGTAACCTGTTATTTCAAAGAGCTAACTCTTCGAACCCTGAGGGTATTTTAGCAGAGCTCTCTTGGCCAGTTGCCTTTTTATCCTCTCCAGCACCCAAATCCTAAGTGTGGGCTGTGCCCAAGTGGTGAATAGAAAAGGACATGGATTTAGGGGCAGCCTTACCAATTATTGGTTGTGGGACCTTGATAGAGCTCCTTGGTCTGTAAAAGGGGCTGGATTGGCATGAGGATTAAAGGAAGTACAGGATATGAAAGGTCTTTGTAAAATCCAAAACTCTAAAAATATGCGTTGTGTCCATGATTCCTGCTTACACCCAGGGCAGGTGCTGTTCTTGACAATGGGAAATGTGACCAGGGGAGTTTCTGTGAATATAGATCCTCCACCAGCAGCACCTAGGGATTTAAACTCAGTGAGCTGGGGATGTGAATGGGGACAGAGAAAAAAAGATAATCCTGGAAAGGGAGCTGAAAAATCCACTTGCTCCATATGATCTCCAGCTCTTTGAAGCCTATTCTCAGATCCAATATGTGCCTAAAGCAAGCAGCCTGGGTTTGGGGGCAGCCTTTTGAATCTGGGGCAGAGCCAAGACAATCCATACAGTGAATTCGATCCTGGAAATGAAAGACTATATATGTGTGTGGTTTTTTTCTTTCTTTTTTCCTCAAGAGTGTGCTGCGGAAGAGAGCTAAAGGTATGGGTGTGGCACCCTACCTGAGCATCTCCCCTTCTGTGGGACCCACTTCTAACTTCAGTCTCGATTAACATTGATCTAAATGTTCTGACACATTCCCAGAGATGCTGGAATTCTACTTCTTGACCAGGTAGGGTATTTGGTGAGGTAGAAAGAGAAGCCCTTTGGATTCAGATGGGCTAACTTTTCCTACCCTGGATTTTGCTCCTGACCAGCTATGATATCTGGGGTAAATCATATATCTCTCTGAGCCTCAGTTTCCTAATCTGAACAAACCAAGATTGGACTTAGTGAGACTACTGAATAATGACTTAAGCAAAGTGCGTAGAAGAACATGACATTAGAGATGCATGACGAATACAGTTTAAAATTGCATAACTTCCTGTTCAATTTCTTTTTTTTTTTAAGATTTTATTTATTTATTTGACAGAGAGAGACATCGTGAGAGAGGGAACACAAGCAGGGGGAGTAGGAGAGGGAGAAGCAGGCTTCCCGCTGAGCAGGGAGCCCGATATGGGGCTCTATCCCAGGACCCTGAGATCACGACCTGAGCCAAAGGCAGAAGCTTAACGACTGAGCCACCCAGGCACCCCTCCTGTTCATTTTCTAACTGTGGGAAGCAGAGACACCCAATCTCAAGATTTATGTTCCCCATTCCATAAGAGGGGGGACATTAGGGCTGTTTCTCAATAAAGGGATCAGTATTTTCCCAATTCAGTGGACATGTATTAGTCTCAGGTGATTTCTAAACACAAAATTTTGTTTTTATTTTCAGTGATTTCTGATGGAAAGGTCCAGAGAGAAAATTCTTTCTAGAGTGGATTCCATGGGAATGGGATCGCCATCCCAGGTCAGATCATGATTTATACAGCTAGAATTCTCTTACTTTCAGCAGCTTTCCAGGCATGGTGCCTGCTCCCTCAGATGGCCCTGACCCTCATAAATCTGCTCGGAGTTGCTTGGAATCAATTTATGTTTCCCACCAGCTTTACCTCTTTGGGAAATGGGGAATGGGGTTTCTGAATTCATTGCCCATTGTCCAAGGGCTGTCCTGCTTCTTATGTATGTGGGGTTGTCTTGCTTGAGCTTCATCCTGTTGGTTCTCTTTGCTCATTCTGTCTGGAATCTGACATCATAGAATGTCACAGCAAGATGGGACCTTGGAGATCACTGAATTCAGTGGTCCCCAAAACACCTGAGGACCTTTAAAAGTATGAATTTCAGAGCCCTGGAGATTCTGATTAGAAGATACTAGGTTGGACGATGATTCGGGGAGGATAATACTTGCATTTTGTAAAAACTTTCTCAGGAGAATCAACCAGATTTGTGAACTAAGTCCATCTACTTCATTGTTGAAATGGAGAAAGAACATTCTAGAGAAGGGAGGAGACTTTTCTAAGTAAATTAGCTTTAGAGAAGGAACTAGAAATTGGGGGTTCTTTTGTTTATGTCCAAAGATCCTTTGGTGGTGATCAAGCCCTTCCCAGCTTCCTGTCCTGAAGATTTCTAGCCTTTTCAGATTGTCTCTACATGAATCCCTGATCCTGTGTCCTTCCTAGGACTTTAATGCTAGAATCCGTTTTTCGAGATAAGGTTACCAGAACTGTGGGTTTGTATAAGGGGACAGGGACAATTGTTATTCTGCTTTATTTCTGGTGTCCCTCTAAAGTGCCTAACACAGTGTTGGCCCCCCTCAGCTGAGCACTGGGTTAAGGCTTATTGGGAGCAGGCCATAATAATTTCCAGATCCTTGCTTGAGAGGTGGGTTCATGGATGTAATTGGAAATTACTGCTGCTTTGAGTCTGGTGGTATTAACTGCCATGGGCCCAGGAAAGCCCCAGAGGAGGCATGGAAGCAGGAAGGGTCTGGCAGAACATCAGGCAAGATATCCAGGCATGAGATCCGTTCTAAGCTAAGGCTGATAGAGTGAGAACCATAAGGGGGTAGGCAAACACTAGGTTGATTTTCGGAAGTGTCTCTGGAGGTGGAAAGTATTAGATACAACCTTATAGATCAAAGCAGGCAGGTCCAGAACCTGAGAAGCAGGAGGATTAGTGACAGTAGTCCTAGGGGGCGGGAGAAGTCAAGGTGATCCCAGGGTAGAAGCCATTTGTTTCCTGACTTGTTTTATGCTTCCTTCTGTGTGTGTGTTGGGCGGGAAGGGCTGAACCTCAGACACCTAAGAAGTAAACTCCTCCCATGAAGGGGGCAAAAGCCTCTCAATATAGAATGTGCACATAATATGAGTCAGGCACTGTGATGTTATGTATGTATTAAATTTAAAAATCAGGAAATTCAAGTTCAGAGAAGCCAAGTGACTGGCCTGTTGTACACAGAGTGAATAATCAGTCAAGCCAGGAATTAAGCATAGATCTTCTGAGTTCCAGCTCAAGACTTGAAGAGGTGCTAGACTCACCAGGAAATCCTCATGGAACTTGTCTGAGAGTCTGTTTTTTTTTTTTTTTTTCTTTTAAATCCATAAGCCTTGGGCGCACGTAAAGCCAGGACAGACCATACCAAGATTGCTCAGGCCCAGAGAGTAAGCAGGCCACCATGAGGGGACAGGACCAGACAGAGTCTGGTCAGGATAGTATGGTGGGTGGACTCTCAGCCCCAGAACTGTGGCCCTATAGTATTGTAGCATAGCAGAGTGTAGGCTTTAGGGGGTCACGGGCATAAGCCAGGGAAAGCAGGTGCTTAGCATCAGGGGGCGCCAGAGGTATCAAAAGGAA